GGTTCATCTGAGCTAGTGGGTCTTTCTTTCTCTCTCTCTTTCTTTTTTTAAAAGATTTTACTTATTTTTAGAGAGATGGGAAGGGTGGGGAAAAAAGGGAGAAACATCAATGTGTGGTTGCCTCTCAGAGTACCCTACTGGCCTGCAACCCAGGCATGTGCCCTGACTGGGAATCGAACTAGTGACCCTTTGCTTTGCAGTCCAGCGCGCAATCCACTGAGCTGGTAGGTCTTTCATTATTGGTGGGGAGAAGGGCGAAAAGGGAGACTTAATGTTACTATGTGCACCCTCTACCATCATGAATTGCTCTTTTTATTGTTCAGATCCATCACCTGTTCATTGGCAGTCCAGTTATCACTTTGTCTCACATACCATCTCTAGTCCATAAGCAGGCCCCCCCATGAAGCCAATAAATGATCATGTGAACTTGGTCTGTTAGGTAGGATGGATCGCAAACCAAGGCAGGGAGCAGGAGGGAGACAGGTCTCCCCCACTGACTCAGCAGTCCCGAGCCTGGTCTGATAATATTGCCAGGTGTTCCAACATCACCGTGCTAACAGGGAAGGAGGGAAGCCCTTGAAAGTCTATGTATTGTTTCCACTGTCTGGGGAATAAGAGCCTTTGAAACTGTGCTTTCATCCCAAGGCCTGAAAGAGGAGGCAGTCCACAGAGCCCAGAGGAAGAGCCCATTAAACAACTTTGGTTAATTGCCTACCTCTGGACACTATCTGTTTTACAAGGGAGTCCCTGATGCTCACAGAAAGAGCCCATAAATAATTTTGGGAAGTGCCCCAACTTTCATTAACTGCCTCTTTTTCCATAACTGTTTTACAACAAGATGTTCAAATGGAGTCTGCAGCAAGGTAAGAATTCAAGCTAACAGACCTCCACACATACCTACATTTGGATATTCACACCCCCTGCCCCCAAAGCTGGTAACAAAGGTCTCTCCGACTCTCTGGCCACCGGGCCTCAGGTCTCCCAGGCACTTGCCACCCCAGTCTCTGGCTGCCTTTACTTTTTCCGTCCTTACCCTGAGTTGCCCGAACCTGTGCCTTTCACCCCCCCACCTCGACAAGGCCAGTTCTCTTCCATGAGAATAGAACAGATCACCAAAAAATGCTGCCGGCACACTCATAGACTTGCTGATCTGTAATTCTTTACTGTGTCAGCCAGAAGAACTGAGTTTCCAGGAGTTTCTGGGGCAGCTAAGACTGGCCCGGACCATAATGAGGGCAGGATGTGCTCAGCAGCTCACAGAAAACCCGCTGGAAGTGCTCCGCACAGAAGACAGCCACACAACCGGAGATGTTCTGTGTGTGCCAGGGCTGCTGGTCCTCAAGGTGGGTCGACTGCCACTTCTGTCACTTGAGCACCCTCTCTTCCAGTTCAGGCCAACACACCACCCTCTGCTCACATCACATGCCCCAGGATGTACGTTTCTCAACTTGCTTAGCAACTAGTGATATGCTTTACTAAAAAGTGTGTCTGGGGACACCCCTGAAGAGAGTCCCGGCAGAAGGGTACTTGCTTTGAAATGTCTCAGATCCAGATTTGTTCTTCTGGAAGTTCGCTTTCAGGCCTGGGTCTTTTTGTCAACCTCATTCGGAACACAGAACTATTGGGGCCTGTGATGTGACTCATGTCCCTGGGACGGGGCAAGGACAGCACCCAAAGCCCAGTGGAATTCTGGTCTCCCCCCTGTTCCAGGCTGCTGCTGACTGACAGCTCCCTCAGGGGATGTATTCCCTACAGCATGTGCTCTTCTTCCAAGAAATCAGGCAGCTTACCCCGCCACCTATGTTGTAGACTCTGGGCCAGGAAGACAGATGGATCCGCGTTCCCCACGCATCATGAGTTTTGGGCAGTGACCAAAACAAAATTTTCCTGGAAGGAAATTTTTTTCCCCTAAGCAGCATCTTGCAATAGTTCATCTTTTGACTTGTGCCTCCTATTTCAGTGTGTTCCTCATTCAACCCTCTGATGAAATCCAGACCCTGCGCTCGCTCAGAGACATGCTCTTGGTCTGACGTCCCCCTGCAGCAGCTCTGAGACACGCTCAGTCCAGCTGGCTGCCAGGTTTGTCTGAGCATGTCAGCCTTCTAGGCCTTAATGCAGGTGGCCTCCCCTTCTCATCCAACTCAGGAGGCGCTGTTTTCCAGCTCCCACTCTTTAGGGATTTGTGCCCTCTTCCTCTGCTTTCATCTCAGCTCTTTGCCCTGCAGTAGAGACAGCAGCCAGGCAGTTAGTCGCCTGCCACAGCTGCAAAGATGACTTCGCTCAAGGGCTGTGTAACGTGTCTCCGAGACCCATGGCCTCCCACACCCAAGGAGCACAAGCACTGGGCCGACGGAGGCTGTGGGCTGCAGAGGGCTCAGGTGTGTCCTTCCAAGAGTGCAGAGCTTGGTCACTTGCTTTCAGGTCCAGTGCAAGGCTGGTTAGCCCCCCTGAAGTATTCTGCATATTCCAATAATTAAATTTAGCATCGAGTCTTTCCCAGCAGCAATGTCGTCATAATCCTAGAATTTTGAGTGTTGAATTTATGCGGATTCATTAAATGATTCTACTTTTGCCGATGTTCAAAATTTTCATAATTAAACATTTTAGAACCTGGGGCTCACTGGCAGTTTGAAAACTGGAGAAGTCAAACAAGGACATCCCACTTACAGTCATGGAATGCCTGGCAAGTCTTAACTGGGAAGGTCAGGCAGCAGGCTCAGTGCGCTGCTCTGAACTCAGGAACACAGAAAGCAGAGCCAATTTGGGGAGCGCCCAGGTGAAGCTTCAGACCTAAGCAGTTTTTAAAAATATGTATGTTTATTGATTTGAGAGAGAGAGGGAGGGAGAGAGAGAGAAGCATTGATCAGTTGCCTCCCATACACACCCCCACCAGGGATCAAACCTGCAACCTAGTTATGTGTTCTGACTGGGCATTGAACCCCCAACCTTTTGGTGTATGAGACAGTGCTCCAACCAACGGAGCCACACTGGCCAGGGCAGGCCTGAGCAATTTGCCTTTGTGACAAAAGTGTTCTTTGTACTCACACCAGGTTAAAACAGGTTAAGTACACTGAGTGGGCAGTGAGCCTTACCCAGGTCACATGAGGAAAGGTAGTTCCTTTCAGTAAACCACTTTCTAAAACAAAAAGGGATTTCTTTTAACCATCACTGTTTTCCACGAGCACGAGGCTCAGATACGGTACAACACTGCTAATCTGTAAAACTGAAAACACTGTCCACGTTATAAATGTGGTATGAGAATTAAAATAATCTGTGTAATTCCTCATCGCAATGCTTGGCACGCACAGTCGCCATATTTGGCAAATATTATACAGGACAATATAATGTTCTGTATGCAAAAAAATAAGGCAATCTTTGGGATATACTTATATCAAAACTTATCTGAAATTAAAAATTAACTGGGTATCCTCTACTTTGGCAACGCCAAGCACACAGTGAGTTGACAATAAATGTCAACTTTTATTTTTTTATGTATTTTATCTTTATACCGAGAGGGGAAGGAAGGGAGAAAGAGAGGGAGAGAAACATCAGTGTGTGGTTGCCCACACACTGTGGAAACATCAGTGTGCGCATATCCCCAAATGGGGACCTGGCCCGCAACCCAGGCATGTGCCCTGACTGGGAATCAACCCGCGACCCTTTGGTTAGCAGGCCAGCACTCAATCCACTGAGCCACACCAGCCAGGGCAAATGTTAACTTTTATTAACATAATGTTATAGGAAAATGAAGCAACCAGACACCAAGGGTTTCTGGAGTACAAGGTTTTATTAGCGTGCACGGGCCCATAGGAGTCAGTCTCCAAATTCTGAGCCCCGAACAAAGGATTCTTGGGGTTTATATAGCCTACGGGGTCTTCCTGTCTACGTAGCAAAGCGAGATACAGAAGCGGAATGCAGTAATTAGTTCTATCTACGGGGCAGAAGCAGAGTACAAGGGCTAAATGTGAAAATTAGTTCTATCAACGGGGGTGCTAGCCCCAGTCCTTGTGACTATCCTGCTGTTTGCTTTTCCCAGACGGCCTTATCACTCTCCCAGAGCGCCTGGGGTTTTGGGTGAACAAAGGTTTTCCAAAGCTTCCCACATCAATAAAACCACAAAAACATAACTTTTGTTAAGATAAAATTACTTTCAATACATGTAACCTGGACAGGATGTCTCCTCCTGCTAAATACGGCTCTTTGAAGGCAGTCTCAAAAGGGCTCCACGGGGCTGGGGGCTCGGGGGATGGTGGCCACAGACTACCTTAGGGCTTCTTCAGTTGCAGGCTCACCTACTTTCTCTATGCCTTCTTCCCTGTCTCCACCTTCTCGGATGCATGGAGATGGAAACGTGGATGTGGAGAGAGGCTCCCACCACAGAGCCTCAGCGTCTGGAAGGGAAGGATTTTCTCCCTCTCTAGCCGCCTCCCCAGCATCCAACCTAGAGTTGGGCGACGTCAGTTCAAAAACACCGCGGTGCAAGAAGTAGGATTTGTGTTGATTTTATTCCTAAAGGTCCAAATACCACGTGCGGGTGGGGGAGAAAGGGTTCCTCTAAAATCCCTGGAAATTGCTGCTGTGGGATGGAACCCTGATAGCTGGAGCTTTAAGGCAGATCTTGGACAACATTTTTGGCTCTAAAGTGGTCCTGGGTCACTCCAGTAAAATGGGAATTACGAATCCCGTCTTTTTCCTTGGGCTACAACGAGCTCCTGGAGCTTAGGTGTTGAGCTGCTTGGGATCATCCCCAGGGCTGGGAAGAGGGCCGGGTACAGGGCCAAGAGCAACGTCAGTGGAAATGAACCAAGGCAAGACGGTGGAGGGTAGAAGTGGAGACGCGGACGCGCAACGTGCGACCTCCACCGGACAACTACGTTTTACTTCCTCCCTGAATAAGCTTCTTCCCGGAGTTCCCAAAGTTCCCGCTTTTCCTCCCAGTTTGCTCCGCGCCGGCCGCGTCCCTCCATTGGCTGCTCCTCCCCCACGTGACGCCAAGGCGGCGGCCGCGGTTGCCGGGGCGACGGCTGGGGAAGTGGCGGCCAGGCTGGGCAAGCGCGGGCCCCAGCGGCTGAGCAGCAGGTAAGCTTGTCCCCCGGTGCGGCTGAGCCACCCCCGAGCCCGCCGTCCCCCGGCGGGAGGGACGGCGGTGGGGCCTGAGGGCCGCGGGTCTCCTGAGCCCTCGCCTGGAGGAAAACCCCGATGCGCCAGCCTGGCAGCCGCTGCAGGATGCCTCCGCTTCTCGCGTGCGGTCCAGGGCTCTCAGTGCGGCGTGGGCCCCAGGCGGCGCCCGGACCAACCGAGAACAGGCCCAACTGCTCCCCGCCCACTGATCTTTGCTGCAGTGGGCCACACTTGGAGGGATCCTCAAGTCCTCCACATCGGTAGTGAAGGCGCGGCCACACTTGGAGGGATCCTCAAGTCCTCCACATCGGTAGTGAAGGCGCGAACGGGTGGCCTGGGACTTCTCTATCCACCCTCCCCGTTTTCTCCATCAGCTGATCTCCCCGGACACCCCGGTTAGATCCAGATTTCATCCAGTCTAAGCAAAAACAGGATGCTTGCTATGCAAATTCTTCTTCCAGACACATCCCATAGTCTTCCCCGGAGTCACAAACCCTGTGATATGGAACTTCTGAAGCTGCCACTACAGCCCTCCAAAGTGAAGAAGTTTCCTCTAGTTTCTGCATAAAGTAGAGCAGCGGTTCTCACAGTTGAGTGTGCATACAAGTCATCAGGAGAGCTTGTTTAAAACGCTTTGGGGGCATCGTGCCTGCCATTATGTTCAGTAAGATTAGGGCGGTGCTAGGCATTTCATTTGCACAAGCATCGCAGGTGATTATGATTCAAGCGGTCTTAATTTTGAGTGATACTGTGTAGCAGTTAAGATTGGTCTGGATTGAAATTCCCGCTTTGTCACTTACTGGCTGAGTTATTGGGAGCACTTCTACCTCCCGGAGCCTCAGCTGTCTCATCCGTAAAAGGAGAGTATAAATCATGCTCACCTCTCAGGTTTATTGTGAAAATTAAATGTGAACCCTTGTGCACAATGTCTGGCATGCATTCAACCCTCCATAAGTGAACCTATTGTAATTTAAGAGTTTAGAGAAATTTTTCTAAGAAGGTCAAGAGTCATGGGATACCCGACAGTGGCTCACCTTCACTGAAAGATCACAGCAGAATCCTATTCAAATGATAGTCCTAAAGAGCTTCTCTGAGGAAGTGATGTTATTATTAAGTACAGGGGTTTGCCAAGTGAAGGAGAGGTGGGGAAACTGTCACCATGCAGTGAGAACAGTCTGTGCAAAGGCCCCAAGGGAAGAAGGAGCTTGAGTTCTCAAAAACAAGTTTTCTCTTTCCAGGACCTTCAAAAATGCTATTTCCTCTGCTTGGGCTTCGGTTATTCATTAAATATCTTGGGTGCCTGTCCTGCAAACTCTGTTAGGTTCTGGAGATACAGAATTCAAATGCAGCTTCCTGTCTTGGTAAACAGGGTGATAAGCATAACCATATAAATAGATGTAGGATGCAGAGGTACCCCAAAGGGGAGAGAATTGCCTTGATGGGGGTAGAAGGGAAGGATTCATGGAAGACTTCCTAAAGGGGGTCAGATCTGAATGCACTTAGTATGATGAATGGAGTTTGCCCGGGAGGTGGGAGGAGTTCGCCAATCAGAGGGCTTAGAAAGAGCAGGTCATTCGGGGGAGGTCACTAGTGGTGGGACCTAACGATGCAACTTGTAGGGCAGTGGTAGAAGGAAGCAGGGAGAGGGACAGCAGGTGGCGGTCCAGAGAAAGGTGAGACAGGTGGGTGGTCCTCAAACAGTAGCTGTCTTTCTCCTCACACCTGTGGATCTGGCAGGCCTGGAGGTGGTAGGTGGGGTCCCTGTCCTCCCTGCTCCTCCTTGCTACTTCCAGATCACTGCCCCCCCTTCTATGAAGTACATGCATGGGCTTTCCCACGGGCCACCCCTCCTTTTTTTAATATATTTTATTGATTATGCCGTTACAGTTGTTCTATTTCCCCCCTTCATTCCCCTCCACCCTGCACACTCCCTCCCCCACCACTTCCCCCCTTTAGTTTATGACCACGTGTCTCAAGTTCTTTAGATTCTATATTTCTCCTACTATTCTTGCCCCCCCATCTATTTTCTACCTACCATCTATGCTACTTATTTTCTGTACCTTCTCCTCCCACTCCCCTGTTGCTAACCCTCCACGTGATCTTCATTTCTATGGTTCTGCTCCTGATCTAGCTATCCTCTTAGTTTGCTTTTGTTTTAGGTGTGGTTGTTGATAACTGTGAGTTTGCTGTCCTTTCACTGTTCATCTTTTTTATCTTCTTTTTCTTAGGTAAGTCCCTTTAACATTTCATATAATAAGGGCTTGGTGATGATGAACTCCTTGAATTTGATCTTATCTGAGAAGCACTTTATCTGCCCTTCCATTCTACATGAAAGCTTTGCTGGATAGAGCAATCTTGGCTGTAGGTCTTTGGATTTCATGACTTGGAATACTTCTTTCCAACCCCTTCTTGCCTATAAGGTCTCTTTTGAGAAATCTGCTGACAGTCTGATGGGAACTCCTTTGTAGGTGACTGTTCCCTTATCTTGCTGCTTCTAGGATTCTCTCCTTCATTTTAATCTTGGCTAATGTAATGATGATGTGCCTTGGTGTGTTCCTTCTTGGGTCCAACTTCTTTGGGACTCTCTGAGCTTCCTGGATTTCCTGGAAGTCTATTTCCTTTGCCAGATTGGGGAAATTCTCCTTTATTATTTGTTCAGATAAGTTTTCCACTTGTTGCTGTTCCTCTTCCCCTTCTGGCACCCCTATAATTCTGATGTTGGAACGTTTAAAGATGTCCTGAAGGTTCCTAAGCTTCTCCTCATTTTTTTGACTTCTTGTTTCTACATTCTTTTCTGTTTGGTCATTTTTCCCCTCTTTCTGGTCCACTCCTTTGATTTGAGTCCCAGTTTCCTTTCCATGACTATTGGTTTCCTGTGCATTTCCCTTCATTTCAATTAGTTTAGCCTTCATATGTTCCTCTAATTTGTGACTAAAATCAACCAGTTCTGTGAGCATCCTGATCACCAATGTTTTGAACTGTGCATCTGAAAGTTTGGCTATTTCTTCATCGCTTAGACTTATCGGGTCTGGGGCTCTAAGTTCTTCTTGAGCCATCTTTTGATCTGTTCGTGCCTGTTAGGTATGAGCGGTGGCCTATGAGGGGCACAGCTGTTTTCCTTAAGGACTGTAGCACCTGGCTCACTGTCCACCTCTCCACTTCCTCAACTTCTTTTTTGATTTAGGCATTCTGGCCACACACATTTCTCCATCCTCCTTACTTTTAGGCATCTCTCCCTCCATCCTCCTCATCTGTGCACTGTGTGGTCGTGAACTTTTTATTACTGTACCCCCTCCAAGATTTTGATTTGAAGCACCCGCCTCCCCCTCTGACCAGCACCTTCTCTCACGCTCCCTTGAATGTGCCCTCTTGGGCAGGCCTTTGACCTCACAGCTTTTTCACTGGGTGCAGCGCCCTTATGTGCCTCCCTTCCCCCCTTCTTAATGAGGCTTAGCTTCAAAGCTCCATCACTGTTACACTTGTTTTCTCTGTCCCCTGTCTTCTGGAACAACCGCACTCTGATGAACCTACTCAGACTCGGAACGTGGCTGGAGAAGACTGAAAATCGTGCCGACTTTTTCTCAATGTTTGATATTCTTGCTTGGGGGCAGAGAGAGGGATTGGTGACCATTTATTTACATCAGATTAATTCTAATACCTGGCCTTCCTTAAAGTAGGTGAATTGACCTTATTGTTAACCTCTGTTCTGTTCTAAATACACTTTGTGGTCTGGACAGTTTGAATTACACGCCGCATCACAGCACATTAGAAAACGCTTCGTACACAAGGAACCTTCCTCAGTCTCGGCAGCAGGTCTCTGACTTTGTCACTCACGCCACCTTCCAGTCCTTGTCCACATTGTTACGTGTGGAAGGAACCCTGTTACTGATCACGCAGAGGAAAGAACTGCCTTCCACTCTAGCTGCCCTATTTCCTGGTGCTGCTGTAATAAATTGCCGTAAACATAATGGCTTGAAACAGCACAGGTTTATTATTTCATAGTTCCTGGAGGTCAGAAGTCTGACATGGGTTTCACTGGACACAGCCAGGGGTGTGTAGGGCTTGGTCCTTTTTGGATACTCCAGAGGAGAATTCCTTCTTTGCCTTTTCCAGATTCTAGAAGCTTCCTGCATTGTTTGGCTCCTGGCCCTTCCTTCACCTTCAAAGCCAGCAGTGGCTGGCCGAGTCTTTCCCTGTGCACCACTCCGGCTCTGACCCTCCTGCTCCCCACTTTCCTTGTAAGGACCCCTGGGCTTACAGTGGACCCCCGATAACCCAGGTTACTCTCCCCATGTTAAGGTCACAGTGGGCAGCCTCAGTGCCATCTGCGGCCTTAATTCCCCCTTGCCTGTCATCTTCCTGGGACAAGGGTGGGGCACCTCTGGAGCCACCGTCCTGCCCAGCACAGCTGCCTTTTTGCGGTTTCACAGATGGTTAAAATGAAAGCTTTTGTTTCGCTTTGTAGAGATTTTTGCTGTGAGAATCAACGGTAACCTTTCAGCATGGGGGATATCCTGGCTCATGAACCCGAGTTGCTGGGACTGGTGAAAGAGGTGGGTACGTCACACCCGGTCACGGAGAAAGACACCGAGAACTCGGGAAGCCTGCATTTCAACGCAGCCGACTCCGCAGCGCCGCATTGCATTAGTTATCCGTGTGGTCCGTACAGAGTTCTCCATGTGTTTATATTTTGTTTTCATCACTAAACTGACATCTTACAGCTGTTTTTTTTTTTAAGAAGTCTTTTTTTTTTAGATTTATAATAGGGAAGGGAAGGAGAAAGGAGAGACTTACCTGTTTCCCTCACACCGCCTCACGAGCTCACCACCATAAGAACTCTTTTAAAGAGCCCTGGCTGGTGTGGCTCAGTGGATTGAGCGCCGGCCTGTGAAACAAAGGGTAATTGGTTTGATTCCCTGTCAGGGCACATACTTCGGTTGCAGGCCAGGTCCCCAGTGGAGGGGCACGTGAGAGGCAACCACACATTGATTTTTCTCTCCCTCTCTCTCCTTCCCCTCTGCCTAAAAATAAATATTAAAAAAAAACCTCTTAAAGAAAATTATGAAAGAAACACATGGTTATGGTGAAAGATTCAAACGTATGGAAGTATGAAACAATTTTTCTGCCCTTCTGGCAGTGACCACGGCTAATGGTTTAGTGTGTTACCTTTCCAGACTTTATTCTGTGAATGTTCAAAACACATTCTCGTGTCTATAGTGAGTTTTACAAAATGCGATGGTGCCATACGCGTTGTTCTGTAGCTTGTCTCTCATCTGTCGGTGGTGACGTAGCCTGAACATCTTCCCGTGACCCTAATGCTGTAGTTTTCTCTGAGTGGCAGCATCCTGAGGACTTAACTCGTGCCTGTGAACGGGCCTTTGGGTGTCCACGCTAAAGCTTTTGAAGGACAGGACCCACTCCTGACGCCTTTCAGAGTTCACGGCGTTTAGTGTGCGGCTGGCGTTTGTTGGCAGGACCATGAATAGATTCTGAACGCTGTCCCTGCAGGGGGTTGTGCAGAGGGGAGGGGGCCCGGGCTGGTGGCCACAGGCAGGGGAGGCCGAGACAGGGAGGTGTGACTGACAGACCAGAAGGAGGCGGAGTGCAGGGTGGGGGACTCGGGGGACAGGGGCTCAGTAGTGCTCTCTGCATGAGGACCGCTGATGACACGGCCCATCTTTTAATGACTTCTTCTCTCAGGGACGGGTGTTATTTCCAGTCCCTCTGTTCCCAGTAACAAATTCCCAGAGTCTGACCACAGCAGAAGCCCTCAGGCCGCCCGCCCGCCTGCCTGTCACTCACTTTTCCAGACTGGCACGCACGTGATTTCTCCCTGTTAACAAGGATAAAGAACCACCAGGGAGCAAACAGTTTCCTTCTGAGAGCGAACTTGGTTCTGTAAAGAAACATCTTCTACGTCACTGCCTTTCTAGGCTTTTAGTGTGTGCGTGGAGAAGTGAATTCCAAGCTGGGTCCCAAGTTACTTCCGCCGAGGCGACAGCCCCTTAACCCTGCTGGAAATCAGGGCTGCTACGGAACTAGCACAGCTGCTTCAAAGGCAGCTGCTCCGTGGTTGTTAGAGCAGAGAACTCTGTATGCTTCTGTGTTTTCTTTTATAGTACTTAGATTTCGCCGAATTTGAAGAGACCTCGAAAACATTTTCAAAAGAATGCAAAATAAAGGGAAAACCTTTATGTAAAACAGCAGGTGGCTCCTTGCGGGACTCCAAGTCACTGCTAATCCAGGTAAGGGTTTACTTTTTTCCAAATCTCTGTTGTAAAAAAAAAAAAAAAGTGCTGCTATTAGAGAACTTTGGAATCTTTTCTGGGGACCTGGTCACTCTTAGACTTCTCGGTGCCAGGCCATGGATTAGCGGTGCAGCCTTCACAGCCCCGTGCCCTGCCTAAGAAGGGGGTGGTGCCCAGGTCTTTCACAGACGTTTCTGGGGAAGGAGACAGAGGGCAGACCTGGCGGTGCTTACACATCCAGGCGGATGTGCCCCCCGCCCTGAGGTGTTCCAGGTTGTGGATTCCAGTATTAGGGTCAGTGGTGAACAAACCAGAGCCAAACCTCTGCCCTCACGATGCAGTGCGTGTGCTCTAGCTCAGGGAGGCTGGGGCGGGGCAGGTCCCCGCCTGAGCAGCTCGGTGAACACGAGTGGGCTGCAAAGGCAGGCGTTACAGGGTCCTCAGCTCTTGGAGCTAGAAGGACCTTAGAAGTCCTCGCTGCGACCATTATTTAATGTCGCTGTCCCACTTGTAACCTTCTGGGTAAGTTCACCCTGACTACATCCAGTGATGGGAGAACATAGCATCTGTTGAGCCAGCATATTTCAGCTTTGCATGATTTTATTATTGTCATAAATTTCATTTGTTTCAATATACCCACTTCCGAGAAAAATTTGAGACTTGTTTTGAGAGGCCCACTGAGTAGATAGAAGTTAGGCCACCACGACTGCCCGCCTGCCCCTGGCCCCTGGCTTCCTAGTAGCCTGGCACGGGGCACCACTGAGTGGGGGCACCATCGGAGTGGCCCGTGGAGCTCCAGGTGGGGCTGTGCCCTCTGCCCAGAGCCCCTCCAGGCCTCAGGCACCTGGACCCTGAGCTGCTGCCCCCCCGATCAGGACTATTAAGAACTTTCAATTCTGCATTGTACCTAAATCCGAAAAATTATGCAGCAGGGATTCGTAGTGGGTCCATTGTCGTTCTTGTGGGGCAGCTGACGGGACCATTGCCACCTCCTTTCTCCAAGTCTCTTATTTCAACTACTGCGTGGTGAGTTGGGGAGCTCCCTCCCCTATTTCTGTCCTGTCCCTGTTCAGAAGGCCCGGTCTCTCTCTGGGTGACCGCTTCCCATTGGGCCATCTCAGCTCCTTGTGCTTCTAGCAATGGGGCTGATGACAGCACCGCCTCCCAGACCTGGGTTCAGCAGGTCAGTGTGTGAGCTCCTGCCACAGGGGCACTCGACACTGTACCGTCAGCAAGCTACCAACTTAGCAGGTTTGCTACGCTGCATCCTGGCAGCTCTCCACGGCCGGTGTTACCTGTTGCAGGCCCAGGGTCAGCAAGGCTGGAGGGTTGCTGCAGGTGTTCATGCACCTGTGAGTGCTCTGTCTGCGACCCTCCGGCCGAGCCTGAGCCCCAAGTTCTATTTTAGGGGCCCTAGACATCTCTTCGGCTTCCTATAAAGCCCAGGTTCGAGATTGCAAAGGGGTGAAAGCGCAGGGTGGGTCTGCAGGAACCTCAGCCTGCGGAGCTTGAAGCCCCCCAGATCTCTGGTTTTCTGTCCCTTACCTTCGAGAAGGAGGCTGGTTTTCCTCACACCGAAACCCCGGAGTGATGGGGTCTCCAAAGCGTCGGGAGGGTTGTGAGAACTGCGCGTTGGGGGTGATGTCCCATTCGCTGTGTTCTCCGCAGAAGGACCTCCTTGCGGCGTTTGACAGTGGGGACCAGAAGACGTTCTTCGGCCTGTGGGAGGAGCACCTTCCCAGCTCCCTCCGAGACGGCGACCCCCTCGCCCGGAAGTTGGAGTTCTACCTGCACATCCACTTTGCCATCGATCTGCTGAAACGCTCCGCGGGGAGACCGGTAGGTTCCCCGTGTGCTGCGGCCGGTCCCAGCGGTGCGTTGCGGGAGAGCGGCGGCCAGTGAGCACTGACTGATGCAGCCTCGTGGCCGTCTCGTCCACGGGGGAGGGGGAGGGTCTGTGTCCGGTGGGCGGTGCTCCACCCCATTCCCAGTTTCTTTTCTAACTTACGGAGTGAACGGTTTCTGCGTGAGCTGTATCGTTTTCCTGAATACCTCAAGTGTTTGAAAACTCAGCATTCATATACATACATGTATTCTAAGAACACGTATGGAGACCACATACTAGACTATATATTGGAAGAGAAATTTAGCTATAAACAGTGGGAAAATGAATGCCCACCTGTGCAAGTCCGTTTGAGCGCTAAGTTGAATTTAGCTTCTGCAGTCTTTCCCCAGGCGGGGCTGGGGACGCGCAGCGGGGAGAGGCTTTGAGTGTGGAGCAGGGCCAAGCTGGTATTTGGCCACATGCATTTGGTTAGTGGCTTCTCCATGCTTTGCCTGCCGCCAGAGGACCTGAGCTAACTTACTAGACTGTCGGGAGGCGGAGGAGGGCCCAGCAGCGGAGGGACTCGCTTTCCAGGGCATCGTAAGAGCCGTTCCTGGGCAGCTGCTCTCGGGGTGGTGCTCGTGTGGGCACAGTAGTGGGAGGTTGTCATTGTCTTAGCACTGGTTTCTGTGTAAGGTGAAAGAGTCCGTAAGCATTATATATATCTTACATCTGGTGGTCAGAAGAGGGCTTCACCATGCAGGTGCAGTAAGGGGCAGCGGTTGTAAGGGCAGGCTCCCCGCACTCGAGGCTGCGAGGGCAGCACTGCCGAGGCCCGGGTGGTCCGGGAAGGAAGGCTCCAGATTCCGGGCGGAGGAGGTCTGGTCATTCGTCCTGCTCCTGGGGCCCAGGAGGAAGTGGGACCCTGGGAGGGGCTTGCGTCGCCTTGGATTTCACAAGGAATTAGTGCAACGGGCAAGATCAGTTCTCAGATGCCTTTAAAAGAAGATTTTATTTATTTATTTATTTATTTATTTATTTATTTTTAGAGTGAGAGGAAGGGAGGAGGAAAGTGCAAGAGAAACATCAGGCCTCGCATGGGCCCCTAACTGGGGACCTGGCCTGCAACCCCAGTACGTGCCCTGCCTGGGAATGGACCCAGCCGCCCTTCAGTTCTCAGGCTGGTGCTCCGTCCACTGGGCCACACCAGCCAGGGCCTCAGTCACCTTAATGAAGGAAAAGAATGAGATATGGAAATTTCAAGTGCAAAAACTGTTCACTTTAGAAATGTCTCCTAGGAGAATCATGGGAATGCACACAAATATTTATGACCTCTGAAATAGGGAAACGAAGCCCATATAAAATAATGGGGAATTGGTTAAACTGTGACAGACCCACAGTGTGAGTTTTTGTGTTGTTGGGTTCTGGTTTTTAAATATTTGTTGTTCATAAACTTGGTTGTGCGAGGAGATACGGTGGTGTTTCCACCTACGCCTCCATCTTGGCCAGAAGTCCAAGCCTTGTGTTGTCATTAACAGCGATGTGTGTGATGAATCAAGGACGTGAGAAAATGCTAATAAAATAGAAGCCAGCAAAATGAACACGTGTCTGTTCTCGGACATCCCTGACAGTGTCACCAAGGGGTGGGTCAGGGGTGACATTAGAAGGACGAGACAGCACACTTGCCAGGCTGGGCGGGGAGGCCGCCCGCAGCGTGGCTGCAGCGAGAGGCTGGGGTGACGGGTGGCCTGGGCACCAAGCAGGGGCCCTCAGTTAGTGTCTGTCCTTCCTTGTAGGACAAAGAGGAGCTGGACGAGAGGATTTCTTATTTCAAAACCTACCTGGAGACCAGAGGGGCAGCGCTGAGCCAGACCACCGAGTTCCTCCCGTTCTACGCCCTGCCTTTCGTCCCCAACCCAGCGGCGCACCCCTCCTTCCGGGAGCTCTTCCAGGTCAGTGACAGCCCGAGACCGCGTGCCACACCCCACGCAGCAACGCGCCTCGTCCGTGCCGGTGGTTTCCAAATGAGGCGGCAAAAAACTGAGATGGGCCTCTGTTGCAGTTTAAGACTGTTTGGATAACTTGCTTTCACAAGCTTTTTTTCTTGTGCCATAAAATGTGATTTGTTTTGGTTCACTAAGATTTGTTAATCCAGACCCACATAATTCTTTTTCATATACAACATCTTAAGTCATTTTGTGTGAACATGTTCAGTATTGCAAGAATAATTTATTTAGTATGTTGGCAGTTAGTCATCTGAAATAGAACTACAGTATTTTGCATAATTGCTGGCCACATATATTTTATTGATAATTTGTATTAAAATTCTCATTTACTTGGCATATATTTGGCTATAAGATTTGTACTGTTATTTCCACCAGATGGTTTGCCTATCTCTCTTTTGTTATACTTTATTATTTTTTTAAAGATGACTTATTTTTTTAAATGTGTCTTTTTTAAAAGATTTATTTATTTTTACACAGAGGGGAAGGGAGGGAGAAAGAGAGGGAGAGAAACATCGATGTGTGGTTGCCTCTCATGTGACCCCTACTGGGGACCTGGTCCGGAGCCCAGGCATGTGCCCTAACCTGGTATCAAACCAGAGACCCTTTGATTCACAGGCCTGCATAGCACTCAGTCCAGTTAGCCACACCAGCCAGGGCCTAAATACATAAAATCTTTAAAGAAAAAAAAGAGGGGATGTTAGGTATTCCGAGAGCACAGTGAAGACCTGTGTTTGTGAACTAGCGGCGAGCGTGGCCGCAGCCTTGCTCACAGTGAGGTGAAGCCGGCAGCCCGGGAAGGAGGCAGGGGCGCAGCCAAGGCTGCAGCTGCGTTCAGGAATTGAGAGAGTGTCGGCGTTCATGGGGCCGGCTTAATGCATTTTTTCCTCTTGGCTACTCTCCACATACGTCCTTTTAATGGTCGTCATAGCTACTTCAGTGTGTATGCATCATAACATCTAAAGCTCGTGTCTTCATTCTTTTCCTGACCGTTACAAGGATCTTAGAATACATTAACCTCGTTCATCCTCTTTCCACTTTATGTGCTATTATGGTCAAATGTTTTAGTTATTTGCTTCAGTGCCACAAATGAGGGTTTTTGCTGTTTCATGCACTAGGTGTGTGTACAGCTTCACCCTCACACTTGTCAGCCTGCTGCTCCCACCCCGTCCACACTGAGGACCTTCCTCTGGGATCACTTCCTGCCCACCTTACGTACCTTCCTTTAAATCTCCTCTGGCCACAGATCCCTCCTTTCAGTTCTCGTTCGTCTGAACTGCCTCTGCTGCTCTCACTCTCGGACCGAGTGCGGGACCGAGTGCGGCACAGCGGCTCCTCTCTCCCCGCGGAGCTGTCGTCGCTGTTCTGTCTCCCAGCTCCCACTGCTGCCACTTCGGAGCCGGCCCCCAGCCTGACTGCCGCCGCCTTCTCTAACCCTTCCGGATCGTGTCATTTCTCTGCAGTGTCCAGGGACACCTGATGTTTGTTCGGCCTTGTTTCTTAGTCTGTGTTGATTTGTGGTGGCCGACATCACCGCCCTTCCCTGAGATTCTTCCCGTGGAGTCGAGTGCAGGGAGCCTGGCCCTGTGCTGGTTTTCTGCGGCCACCGCAATGGAGGACCACAGATGAGGTGTCTTCAACCAAGAGAACCGTGTTGCCTCCAAGGGCAGGAGGCCAGAAGTTGGGGACCCGGGCCTCTGGCAGCCGACCACGGTCCCCGAAGCCTCCAGGGGAGGACCCTTCCTCACCTGTTACAGCTTCTGGAAGCTTCGAGTGTCTCTCGGCTCGTGGCAGCACCATGCCAGCCTCTGATCTGTCTTCACATGGTGTATCTCCTCCGTGTGTCGGAAACTGCCTTCTCCTCGCAAAGACACCGTTCATGTTGCATGAGGAGCCCACCCTGCTCCAGAACAACCTCTTCTGAACTAGTCACATCTGCTAGGACCCCGTCCCCAGCGACCTCACATCTGGGATTGGGGACCGCAGCATACCTGTGCAGGGGACACAGTCCAACCCGTAACACACATCGTAAATAAAATCATCATGCTGTGTCAGGGAGTTACAGAGTCTTTTTAAAATACCATACTTCGCTTATCTGGCAGTATGTTTTCAAAAGTCTGGGAAGACCCTGGGTAGGCCCACGCAGGAGGCGTGGGTGAGGCTGCAGAGCTGGGTGGGGGAGGGTGAGGAGGGCCGTGGGCCGTGGGGCGGGGCGAGCAGACAGGAATCTTCCGTGTAAACAGCTTCAGTTCCCTGGAACTTCCTATTTGGGTGGCAGGTCCCTTCGTATGAAGACTCAGAAATGCCCTGAGAAGGGTTGGAGCTTGTCACCCTTTCTTCTCTTACTACTGACGTCATTACTCTTCCTTCTCCATGAGCCTTATTGGAGACAATTCTTTCTTTTTGAGGGACAACTCAAATGAACGCACCCCATAATTCTTGGCATGGTAGAGTCTTTGAGGCGCTGTCCTTTTTCCTCACCTACGTGGGGTCCATGGAAGTGGGTCCCTCTCTTCAGGAGACCGTCGGTGACTTAGAGACCGTTGTGCGTGCCTGCCGGCAGCTTGTGTGCCTCATCTGGCCTGAATTCTTCCTGGAATTTGGCCTAATAAGGTTACTTGTCATGCCTGTGTTTAAATCACACCAAATATTCAAATCGTGCACAGGGTTCTTTTTTCCCTGTTCACGAAAGAACTCTTTCCTTTTCCTGCCGTGGCAGCTCGGCTCTTCGGTGAATGAACTGGTCAGTTGTCCTGAAACCTGCGTTTCACGGCACCAGGCTGCCGCCAACTGGTCTTGTTTACGTAACTCTACAGGCACAATTTGACGGGGCTGTTGACATTTGGTGATTGATCTTTTATTTTATTTTCCTTGTTTTCTTCAGGACTCTTGGACTCCAGAATTGAAGTTGAAGTTGGAAAAGTTTCTGGCTTTAGTTTTTAAAGCCGGCAACACACCGAAGCTTTTAGCATTATATGTATCCTTTGGAAGCTGATGGAGACGCGGTGGTTAGAGTACCACGCCGGCCCAGACCGCCCCCAGACGGGGGTGGGGGCTGAGATGCCGCTTTCAGATGCCAGCAAGGCGCAGAGTGCCAGTGGGGGGACATGCCTCTGCCATCGCCTCCCTGAGACTGGCCAGGGTCTTCCTTTGTGTCATGTGCTAGAAGCTTTGTTAGGAGAACAAAAGTGCCTGTCCTTTTGGAAGAGAACTCCTTGGAATAACTGTCCCTTCTTAGTAGAAGATGTTCGAGCACTTTTAAGGCCTTGAGGCCCAGGCATTTGGATCGAGTGACTTGTTATTCAAATTGGGCCTTTTTAAGACAGCTGTATTGAGGTGTAAGTTGCACACCGTGAAAATGTGTGAGTTAATGATTTTTAGCAAGTGCATGGAGTGGTGTGGCATCGACCTGCACACTCCAGTTCCAGGCGGGACGCTTCTGAGAGTAGGGGGACATTGGCTAGATGGGGAAGGTGGGGCAGTGTCCCCCACGCCTGGGGGGCTGGTTTCCCAGAGCCTGTCGGTCTTTAAGGACGCTTCTCTCCTTTTATTCTGAACAAGAATGGATCAGTCATTTTTTTACAAAATTTTATTTATCTATTTTTAGACAGAGGGGGAGGGTGGGAGTAATGGAGAAAAACATCAATGTGTGGTTGCCTCCTGTATGCCCCCCAACTGGGGACCTGGCCTACAGCCCAGGCATGTGCCCTGACTGGGAATCGAACCAGCAACCCTTTGGTTTGAAGGTTGGTGCTCAAGCCACCGAGCCATACCAGCCAGGGCCGTATCAAAAGTTATTTCATAACAAGAATATAACATTTGGAATTGTAAAGTGGGTACTTGTTCTAATTTAGTGAACAATTTAGGCCACTTTGCTGTCTAATACCTGCTTCCTTTCTAACCCCAAAGCGTAGGACTTCCTCTTCCTGACCGACCTCTTTGTCCCTGGGATCCGTGACCTGTGTCTTCTCCAGCTTCTGCAGCCTCCAGGGGCTCCGGCTGCCTGCACTCGGTCCCTGAGCCTCGCCCGAGGTGGGCCAGGGCCGGGCTCAGCTGCAGCCCCTCTGTCTGTCTTCATAACCCTAGGGTTTTGTTCAGGCCCTGCCTCTGCTCCCGCACAGAGACGTTTGCACGGCCGATCTGTTTTCCTCTCCCAGTTCCGTACAAAGTGACCGTTGTCAGTGAAATGAGGACTTTTCCAGCCTGGCTCACGGTTATTTTCGTACTCTTTTAAAAAGCATTTCTCAGTGTGAAGGTAATGGTGCCGATGTGTTAAGATTCTAAAAGAAGTTATTTACATACTAAATCATATTTTGTTAATAATAGCACCTGCTTTATGGGAATAATAGGAGGGTTAACACATCAAACTTGCCTAAACATCCATCACATAGGAAGTGCAGGATAGCTGTTAGTATTGTAAATGTTTGCAGATACTTGTCACCTCCCATCCTATTCAGCTCTGAAGCAAATACAGTTAAACATAGCAGGGAACTGCAAACGTTTCTTTCTTTTCTGTGTCCCTTGGAAACGCTGGCAGTTCGGCCAACATGCACTGAACTGAGTGCCGCGCTAGGAATTAGGGACCCAGAGACAAGGCCAAGGCCTCCTTCTCTTGGCCAGGTGGGAGGTTTTATTAAAATTTTTTTGACTGAATCTTTATTGTATCTTTTCTATTATCATTTAGTCTCCTCGTACCTCCTCCCCCAAGTTGGAGTCTTAAACAATTTAAATTTTATTTTTTATTTATTTTTATAGGGGGAGGGAGGAAAAAAGAGAGGGAGAGAAACATCAATATGTGGTTGTCTCCCATGCACCCCCTACTGGGGACCTGACCCACAACCCTGGCATGTGCCCGGAGGGGGAATTGAACCAGCGACCCTTTTGTTCGAGGCCAGCGCTCTATCCACTGAGCCACACCAGCCAGGGCCCCAGTTGCAGCTTTAATCAATGAGATGGAGTCTGTGGCGCAGACAAGGGGCAGGGGCCCCAGGCAGAGGGAACGGCTGGTGCAGAAGCGCTGAGCCTGGAGGTCTGGGAAGCTGGGAAGGACTCACTGTCGCTGGAGAGAGGAGGCCAGGGGCGGGAGCCTGTGGGCGAAGGGTGCCCTCTAAAGGTTTTAAGGAGAATAACATGCTCACGTTACATTAAAAGAAATCACTCCTTTTCATTCCTGATGGTAAAATTGATCATATTCCCTATAGAAGATTGAGAAAGCACAGAAATGCATTTTGCGCACATACAACCCCCCCCAACGGGTGCAGTGTTCACAGTAAAAAGGGTAGATGCCCGCATATAAGTATGTGGTTGTCAGTATTTTTATCGGATGAAGAGAACATTTCTCTAATATCATGAAATATTCTTCTTGCAGGGGTGTCCAACCCGAGGGCCGTATGTAGCTCAGGGTGGCTGTGACTGTGGCCCGACATAAAATCATAAATTTACCTAAAACCCTTTTTTTGGCTCATCCGTTTTTGTTAGTGTTTGTGTATTTACGGTGTGGCCAAGACACCTCTTACTCTTCCAGTGTGGCCCAGAGACGCCACAAGGTTGGACACCCCCTCGCTGTACGCCCGAGAGAAATGAAACACTCAGAAGGCCCCCGTGCCCGGAGGTTCGCGCCGCGGTATTCAGAATGGCCAGACAGTGCGAAGAGCCCAGCGTCCGCCGACCGATGGGAGGATAAACAAAACGCGGGGTAGCCACGGTGGAGCATTCTGTGGCTATAAACAGTCACACCAACGCGTGGCAACACGTTTGAACCTTGAAAACATTGTGTTAAGTAAAAGAAGCCAGTCACGACAGGCTGTGTATTGTTTGATTCTGTTTGTATGAAGGACCCAGAAAAGGACAGTTGTAGGGACAGTAGATCAGCGCTTGCCTAGTGCTGGGAGGGGGAGAATGGTGGTCAGTGCTAATGGTTGCAGGGCTTTTGGGGGGGGTGACAGAAGTGTCCCACTGGTCATTGTGGTGACAGCTGCACAACTCTGATTATACGGAAGACCACTGAAATGTACCCTTCAAATGGGTGAATTATACAGTATGCGCATTACATCTCAGTAAAGCTGTCACCAAAGAGATTAAGAAAACCCTCACAAAACCGTTTCAGTGCCTTGCCTTCAGTCTCGCTGGCAGGTGTGTGGGAGCTGAGGTTTGGACCAGGCAGCCTGGCTCTCGGGGGTCCGTGATCGCCGCGGCTGCGCTGTGCAGGCTCCATCCCAGTCCCAGCTTCCTTAGGATAAAGCTCTAGTGCTGAAGTTACGAGTTAAAGGGTGTGAGTTCAGACTGGCATTGTTAGTAGAGCGTCTTGGTAGAAGGTCTTTGGAAGGGAGCGTGGAGGCCGGTGGGGGCCACTGAAGTAGGACACGACTTGGGTGCACACAAGAAACTGAGGTGGGGAGAAGGGGGTTTGTTTGAGGGCGAGCCATCCAAGGACCGAGCAGTCGGTAACAGTCCCGTAACCGTCTTAGCCATTTGGAGCGGCATTAAGAAGCGGCCCTCGCCGTCCTGAGGGTCCTTTCTCAGACTGGTCACAGAAGGTCAGCACCCTGAGGACTACATCCCAAGTGCCCATTTTCCTGAACTTCCTTCTCATCCCAGAAGGAGAACGGACAAAATCACAAAGGTGAATCATTTAGATTAAACATTTTTAAAGATTTTATTTTATTTATTTTTAGAGAGGGGGAAGGGAGGGAGAACAAGAGGGAGAGAAACCTCCTATGAGAGAGAAACATCAGTTGGTTGCCTCTCATGCACCCAGACCAGGGACAGAACCCGCAACCCAGACATGTGCCCTGACTGGGAATTGAACCAGTGACCTTTCATTTTGTGGGAGAAGCTCCAACCAACTGAGCCGCCCCGATCAGGGCTGGATTAAAATTTTTTAAATATCAGCTTTGCCACCTGAAGTTTTAAGTAGTGAGATGGAGAGAATTCCACAGACTTAGAAAAGGAGGGCTTTAACTGTCTAAATATTTGTGAAGTGCTTTGCAATCAATCATTTTTATCTGAGATTCTTTGAGGCCCACTTCTCAGGAAGGCTGGTATTTTTTAGCTCCGTCTTGCATGTCAGGTACCTGAGATGGGGAGAAAGGAGAATGCAAATCCAAGCACTGTGCCAACGTAACTGCAGCGACACAGGGCACCGCAGTGTGTGGGGGGAGGAATTGTTTTAGTGTCTTTATTTTCGCCTCGAACTCGCCTTGAACTAGTCTGATAGCAGCATGGAGTGCCCATTCTTTATACAGCATTTCCATTTTTCACTTCAAAGTAGGAATTCCAGTCTTAATTTTTTTAGCAAAAAATGATGACTTTCCACGATTAGTCATTTTTACCAGAGCTGTTCATTTTGCAGAATAGTGAGAAAAACTTTAGTTAACGTGAAATTGGCCAGAATCGGGGTGCTTTGCCTGAGTTTCTCTGACACTGCATTACGGAAACCACTCAAAGATCGACCCATCGAGTGCTGGAAAGCGGACGTGGTGAGCTTCAGGCTACACCTGGGCACCGCGGGCACCGACTGCAGCTCCCAGCAGGTGGAGTTTCACAACCTGAAGCTGCTCCCTCGCCCTTTCCACAGCAGAGGAGTGCAAGCGAGGGTTGCAAAACTCTCTGTGTTTTTCTTCATGTTTCTTTTTAGAGAGTTTAAGTTTTCTTTAAAAAAGGACACGTTGGTAAATGAGTTAGCTCTTTGCTTTCCAGGGAGCTGACAAATGACCGATGCCTTGGTAGCTTCAGATGAGAAGAGTGTAAATGGTCGTGTTTGTCCCCGGGAGCCTTGCAGGTCCCAGCCCAGTGGTTCTGGATTCTAGGTCTGCCGGCTCTGCCGCCCCTTCTGGAGCTCAGAGGGGACAGACCCTGCCATCCCTTCACGAGGGGCCCTGTTCCCTGGCCTGAGCACAGAGGAGCAGGGGCCAGATGGGGCCTCCCGAGGCTGAGGTGGAATGGGCCCAGGGCCGCCAGACTGCAGCCTCAGAGTGCCTTGGGGCGGCTGTGCCCCAGCACAGTTCTGTTCCAGGACAGGTCCCAGCCAGGGTCTCCAGCTCCTCGGGTCTGCCCCCTGCAGTGCAGGTACAGTTTCTGCAGCAGCAAGGTCCCCGCAGCTCCCTCACACTAGCCGACACCTCACCTCCTGATGGGAAGGAGTGTCAAAGGCTTTGCCGACTTATTCTGAAACCCCCCCACCCACACCATTTGGGTCCCAGAGAAGTGCCTTAGTTCTGGACACAGTCTGCTCGGTCCCTGCTCAGATTTGGGTTTTGCACTCCCTGGCCCTGGGGGAGGGATGGTGGTAAGAAACTGCTTCCCGCTTCCTGAGTGTCCCCAGCCCTGCCGCCCAGCACGCACTGGAGTGTTGGAGGCCAGCTTTCTGTCCGGAACAGTTCTGTCTCTGATAAGTGGCTCAGTTTTGCAGAGAAAATAAGCATGGGATGGAGAGCGCCAACAGGAGAGCCTATGTTTTTCTACAGATCTTTCACCTGGAATTTCAGCGAGGAGACCAGGGTTTTCAAGGCCTGTTTAAGCTTGATTTTAATCGCATTTTCTGAGGATAGCCCGGCAGAGCTGAGTCTGGCAGGCACGGTGTGCTTCTGTGGCCGGATTTGTCCCAAGAAGCAATGGAGGCGATTGGAGCCCAGCTCTTGCAGAGCACGTGGGCTGCAGGGCTGGAAGCCAGGCCCGATCCAGAGTCAGGACAGCCAGCGGTCACCACTCTGCCGCCTCCTCCCGAACTACCCCTGCAGTGCCCACAAGGCACAGACGTGCGGCCAACTTAAGTTAATTCTAGACTCAGGTGTTTTTAATCCAATGTTTGGGTAATATTGTTACTCTGTGTGTCTTGATAAGAAAGTTTCACTGATAAAGTGAGAGTTCCAGAAGCTTTCGAAGAAGTCAGGAAGAATTCTTGGAGTGGGAAATTCTCAAAAGGAGTTACTGTACATTAAAAATGGTGTTCAGAATAAAAGCTTAGGTTGGCAGTATAGCATATTGGATCATCATTTTCACCTAGCCATCTAAAAAAAAGATACAGAAATTGTATTTTTTAGCCTTTCTGACATTAATTGATTGGGCCCCTTCAGAAAATGAACAATAGCTCATTTTTCTGGAGTTCAGGACCCTAAATAGTACTTTTTAAAATGACGACCTACATTTGTGGTAGTAAGACATAAATAACTTTCTTCATCAGTATTTGTGGATTAGTGAAAAAAAAAAGTTGATTTATATCTGAATATAAAGAAGAAAGAGTACATTCTGTTGTCAAGAGTGGTTAATTTTAGGTTTTTACATGAGGTTAGAAAAACAGTCCTGTACTTTAAAAATGTATCATTTTGTCTTGAGCAGCCAACGGGTCTATAAAATGAAATCTCACCAACTCTTAAAAAAAGAAGAAAAAAAGAGAAGGCAACGCACCTTAACGAAAGGGGAATGTTGCCGAGGACGCTTGGCTGCGGGGTGGCAGGAAAGCCCTTCAGCACCTTCGTTAGCTTCATTTCACGCTGGAACAACAGGAACACTGTCTGTGACCTTGACCGGCATTCTTTCAGTGTGTCTGTCGCTTATTTAAAAGTTGGGGTGCAGTTCTCTGGACTTTGGAAATACGAAGACTCTCAGTGACTTCCCCTGGCACGACTGAGGCGGTCTCAGCACAAGAACACGGACTGAGACGTCCCCATTACAGTCGAGGGCTCGCGTGGCCAGGCATCTCGGCCTAGATTTCTGTGTCTCGTAACCCACACGACAGCGCCAAAGTCCTGGTGGATGCTCCAGAATAAGGTTGGGGTGCAGAGCTGTGACTCAGGCACAGCCCACAGTAGTACCGGGCCCCGCTTCTCACCGGCCGCCGTGTGCGCCGGGCGATGTCTCTGGGCAGCAGGCCGTTTGCTAAATGGCGTATTGGAAGTGGCCATAAACCTGTCGGCCCATGGCCTCCCGCCCTCCCTGCAGGCTGCTGGCCGTCCAACCTCCTTTCCCTCCGCGTGCCAGGCTTTGCGGCGGTCCCCAGTCCCAGTCCCGGTCCCAAAGCAAGAGTTCCACAAAGTAGTTCCTTTGGTGAGTTCTTCACTGTACCGCCAGTGTCTGAGTCCTTGTGTCCCCTGCACAGGGAGTAACTATAATGACACTGGCGTTTGCGAGGTCATTCGATCCCACCAAGGGGTTTCAGCACTTCATTCCGTATCTGCCACTTGGTACGTGCTGAGAAAAAGTTCGCACAGATACTCTCTAAACCTTGTTACCACAGAATGGGATCATCCGCAATCTGTGGGGTTTTCATTGTTGGAAGGTCTAGTTTATATTAATTTTGAATTTTGTGCATATGAAAAGCTTTTATAATACTTAGGGTAGGGAGAAGGTAAGGGGCTCCTTCTCCCTAGTAATATTTAAGGAGACACTTGATAAATGAGTTCCAAGGCTGTTCCTCAGAAGTTCAAGTACTAAATGTGAATTTGTGCTAAGTGACTTCTCAGAATTGTCTTGCAATACTGAGATTTGATGGGTGCTAAATAATAATAATTGTTATCATGTGATATTTGGAGTTTTAAGAGTTAATATATTTAACTTCTGCACATCAGTAAAAAAACCAAAAGCCGTTGAAATACCGTTTGAGTGTGAGTGACCGCCACAGCTGGTTAGGACAGCGGCTCAGCCTTGCGTGTGTCCGAGCCGCTGGGCGGGTGGGTTCGCTGACAATGTGGACACTCAGGCCCCGCCCACTGTCCACAGAGTCTGCGCAGGTGCAGTGCTGATGGACCTCGCAGTTGGCTCCCCACTGCTCTAGGATACGGCCTTTCTGCCCCGTTTTCAAGTTGACTGCTTGCATAGAAATGCATTTAGAAAAACGTTTACCCCTTTCCATGAAAGGAAATAATAATAATAGTTGTCATTTGTGGACCCCCTGCTGTGGGCTGGCATTGTGCTAGTCTGTAGTAACCCTGATGAGAAGATTATCATCATCTTCCTCATTTTACAGGTTAAGAGGTGAGATCGGAGAAGTTAAATGTCTTGCCTCAGTTTACCCAGCAAGAAAGTGATAGGATGGGGATTTGAGTCCAGGTCTTTATAATTTTCAAATCTCTCTCTGTATACGTGAAATGTGTTCTAAAACAAAGGCTTCTAACAGCACACAGAGCCTGGATTGGGACAGTAGTGAGTTGACTCGGTTCCTCCCCTCCAAACGCAGTGTCCCAGGGAAGGGGGAAGGAGTGGGGAGCCGCACCGCCGGAGATCTGCTTGTCCCGGTGGGGGTGGGGAGGGCGTGGGGGGGGCCTGACAAGGAACCCCAGAACCTCCCAAGGCTGCCTGCTCTCAGCCGGTGGTCTGTGCTTTGTCAAACTGGCAGAATGAGCACCTGGAATCTTCTGGATTCTAGTTTTCTCCATTGTCAGCCAAGCAGCACTAACCTTTACTCAAAGTGAAGAACTGTCTCGCAGTTATATTGTCCCCCAAACCACCTGGCAGGGCAAAATCAGAGAAAAAGATGCAGGTTTGGTTCAACCATTTGGTGAGCTGATTGTAGAAAGAAATGTTGAGTGTGTTTCTTGTACACAAGGAGAAGAGTTGAAAGAAATTGCATGGGGTTTGGCTCAGGAAATAGGTCTTGTTTGGATAACCAGAGATGATTCTGTTGAACTACCAGAGACAAGAAGTAAAAAACTGGTGATTGCAAAGCACTGTGTAACTAAATGTGGCATGAAATAGAAGCGTTAAACACAAACAGTGTCAAGTTCATTGTTACAGAAAAATACAGTAGTGTGCACGGTTGTGGGCTGGCATTGTGGGCTGAGAAGAATGTGATTGTTTTTTACTTTGCGGGGTTATTGTTTTAACTGAAATACGAATGCCTTCCTAGAGATGCTGCAGCCCCTCCACCAGCAGCTGGTGGAGGCCGAGCGCAGGGCCATGACCTACCTGAAGCGGTACAACAAGATCCAGGCGGACTACCACAACCTCATCGGCGTCACGGCGGAGCTGGTGGACTCTCTGGAGGCCACGGTCAGCGGCAAGATGGTGAGGAGGCTTCCCAGCTGTCCATGTGTTTTTGAGATAAAGCTGCATCACGGCCATGGTCCGTGTTGGCACCGGTTCCCGGCCACCCCAGCCACACCCCTGCCCTGCTCTTCACGGGAGCCACGCTGCTTGTCGTGCGGCTCGCGGTGTTTTATACTCTTCCCGACGCGCTGTCTCCTGCGTCTTTATTTCTCTGCCTGGTTCCTAATGTCAGCAAAGAATAAATTGGCAACAGGAAAAACTATGTAATGGCATAAAAATAAGGGGGCAGTACCTGGTGGTAGATAGGAAGGCTGTAGATTTTCTCTTTTTCTAATTATTTAAATTATTGACTTGAGAAAGTGAGAGAAACATGGATGTGTTGTTCCACTTATGGATGCACTCATTGGTTGCTTCTTATGTGTGCCCTGACCGGGGATCGAACCTGCGACCTTGGCATATTGAGATGATGCTCTAAGCAACTGAGCTAGCTGGCCAGGGCCTAGATTTCGTCTGTTGATTTTGTATCCAGCTGTCTTTTCGAACGCTTGTGAATCTGATAGGTTCTTTTGATCGACTCTCCTGTGTTCCGGATTGGCGTCAGGTTTTCCAATAGTGACATTTCTGGTCTGCGGCTTTCCCTGTCGGCCGTGACATTCCACTCCAGACGTGCTGAGTGAGCCTGTGGGACACCGTTAAAGGGTGTGGTCGTGGGCGTCTGTGGCCCGTCTCTGCCTTTACGGGGAATGACTAGTGTTCTACGTGGCAAACGGTACACCGTATAATAAAACCTCTTTGTGGAAACATGATTTTTAAAAGTGTGTGTAATTGGATTTGCATTTTAAAAATGTATCCAGTTTTGTAAGTGGACATGATGGGCTACAACGCGGAGGGCCTTGCAGCCGTTGAGATAGAGGGGCAGGCGGGTGAGGCTGCGGGAGAAGAAAAGCCCGTGTTCGTCGGTTGCCTTCTTTCTTACTGAAAACACCTGCCGTCACCCTGGCGTGCCTCTGCAGCCGGGCCTGACCGGGTGCCGGTGCGGTGCGCTGACCAGAGGTGGCGTGTGAGCTCCACGGCAGGGGTGGCAGGCAGAGGCCCGCGGAGCCACAGGCAGGGCCAGGGTTGCGGGGTCCTCAGGTGTCAGAGAGAGAGATGGGGCAGAGACGGGACTCCAGCTGGCTCGTTTTCGGTGTAACAGAAATACACGCTCACGGTGACAAATGGGGACGATTCAGAGTAGACAGTAAGCAGCAAACGCCGCCTCCCACACGCGGTGCCTTGTTCTCCCTTCTTCATCGGTCGTCAAGGTTGACGTCTCCTGTATCGTTCCGGAGCGTTTCTGTGCGCGGGCCTGTGTGTGCCCAGAAACCCACGTGCGTGCGGCGCACACTTACTTGGGCGCCTGCGACCCTCCGCTCTTCTGAATCTTGCGACTTCTCTTCCCGTGTATCTTGGGGGATCTCCCCCACACCCACCTCACTCTTTATGATGTCAGGACCGCACCCCACCGTAAGGGCGAGCGGCGATGTGTCAGCACTCGGTGACGGGCATTTAGACTCGTTTCCTGTATGTAGCAACAGCGTGGCCACGAACATTCCTGTATCTGCGGTGTACTTCGGAACACGGGGGAGATAAGGCCCCAGAGCGGAATCGGTAGGTCAAAGGTTATGGGCACTGATGGGCACCCCAAGATGTTTCCCCCGACGTCGCAGTGCCCGCCCACCCTCGGCCCCGCAGTGTGCCCCAGTGCTGGTCTCTCCGCACTCTTGCCAATGCAGACTGACTGTCCCGTGAGATCTCTGCCCGGTTGGCAAGCGAAGCTCAGTGTTCTGACTGCCCGAGCTTGCGTTTCTTTATTGTGGGGGAGGCGAGTGTTTTCCTGTGTTGGCTGCCTGTTTGTATGTTGTTTTGTCATCTGGTTGTTTGTATCCTTTCCTCAGTCACCTGTCCAAGCCGAGAAGGTAGCACAGTCACATTTCCTTTTGAGAGAAGTGGCTCCGGAAGTCAAAGGAGGAAGCAGTGTTAGGAGTAAGCAGTTGATCCAAAGTCTCAAAAGCCACAGAAAACTCTAGAAAATTGTTGTAGGACTGAAAAGTGTCCAAGGTTTTTAACGTTGAGAAGGGCATTGGTGGCGCTGTAACTCCCGAGGGCTGCTACGTTAAAGCGAGGTGCCACACCGGGCCCCTGCGGAGAGCCCTTTGAGAGACAGCGTGACTGCGGCTGCCCCCGAGGTGTCTACTCGAGTCCCCTCCTTTCACCAGCTGGCCTCCTGTCGTCTTTGCAGATCACCCCCGAGTACCTGCAGAGCATCTGCGTCCGCCTCTTCAGTAACCAGATGCGGCAGAGCCTGGCACACAGCGTGGACTTCACGAGGCCGGGGACGGTGAGGCTCGGCGCCCCTCCCTGGCCCCTTAAAATTACCAGACTGGGAAACTGAAAGAGCAGCAGAAAATAACATTTAGGAGTCTGCCCTCAGCTGTCTTTGGAGGTCTAAGAACCCCCAGAAGGCAAGGAAAGCTGTTTTTAACGTTGTTTTTAGCTCTGCCCCACCCGCTGGAGCTGCTGGGGGTGCCAGGGGCTGGTACCAAAGAGCAAATCAGGAGGAAAGAGGAGACCTCATTCTCTTTCTAAAGTATTGGCAGTGGGATGGCCTGGGGCAGGGACTTCCTTTTCTTCTTTTACAACTTTCAACTTGGGGTAATCGCAGACACAGAAAAGTTACAAAAATAACACAAAGGACACTCTGTATACCCTTTAGCCAGATTCAACCATTGGCAGTTTATTCTGTTTGTTTACTTTCTCACTACACGTAATCTGTTTTCCGAAGCATTTGAAGACAAATTACTGAAGGATTTGTTTCTAGGAATAAATTTTTCAGTGCAGAGTATATTTCTTTTGCTTTTTGCTTTTATTTACTCATTTTTAGAAGAGGAGAAGGGAGGAAGAGAAAACATCAATCGGCCACCTCCCTGACTGGGGACGGAACCTGTAACCCAGGCAGGTACCCTGACCGGGAATCAAACCCGGTGACCTTTTGCTTTGAAGGATGACACCCAGCTAACTGAGCCACACCCATCAGGGCAAGAGTTTCTTTCTCAACAGGAATATTACCTTCTATAACCATATATCAGCGTCAGTGAATTGAATACCGATTCAATGTTCTTACGTAAGCTGTGCGTTTTCCAGCTGTGTGAGTGGAGCCGTTCCTGTCGCTTATGGGGCCCTCCCGGCCCTGGTGGGCTGGGGTCCCGTGTCACGCAGTCCTCGCGCCTCTGTAGTCTTCTTTGCTCTCGAATGTTCTGAGGACTTTCTTTGACTTTCATTAACTGTCATGACAGTGACATTTTAGGGGAATGTGGTTCTTCCCCTCTTTTAAAAATAGAACATTTTTCCTCTTGTGTTTGATGTTTTCTTGCGATTAGATTCGGGTTTGCGTCCCAGGCCAGCCGTTACATAGGTGATGTTGTGTGTCCTTAGGTAGCTCACCTAGAGACAGGTGGGGTTCTTCACCAGGGGGTTGAGTACACCAGTGTCCCCTGGGGACGTCTCCCAGGGACGTGTTCAGCCTCCATGACCCCATGCCCTCGGAGCTCACGCCAACCCGGTCCAGAGACTGAGTGGGCGCGGCCAGGTGCATTAGATTAGGGAGGAAGTGCCAGGGGCTCCAGAGGCGCCCCATGGGTCACAGCCATGACTTTTAATTGAGGATTTGCATATTAATATTAGGTCTTCATAAAAATATTAGGGCCTTTTATAGTATTAAAAATAATTTATTCCCTGCCTCATTCTCAAGTAGGTTTGAAGAAACTTGTTATTATAATATGAGAAATAAAAAAAGTAGGAAACAGCCCTGGGTGGTGTGGCTCAGTGGATTGAGTACCAGCCTGTGAACTGAAAAAAAGTAGAAAATAAAAGTAAAAAATTGTGGTTAGAACTCATAGGAACAGAAAGTAGACTGATGGTCTCCAGGGGCTGTGGGGAGGGGAACACGGGAGACGCAGGTCAAAGGGTACAGCCCTCTGGCTGTAAGATGAGTAAGTTCCGGGGATGGAAAGCACAGCATGGTGCTTCTAGTTAGCAACACTGTATTTATGCTTGGAAGTTGCTAACAGTGGATCTTAAATGCTCCGCTCTGAGGCGCGGGTGTTAAGCCACCTCACAGTGGTGATCATTTCACAGCACACGCACGTATCACCTCGCCCCGTTGCACACCTGAAGCTCACGCAGCGTGTATGTCTTCATCTCGGTAACGCTGGGAAAAATAAACCGGTTCAAGGAAAATCAGGGCAGGAATAGCAGAAGTAAGCCAGGGCTGAGGCCGGTACACAAATACTTGTCATCAGTAGCTGCGCACCTGGAGAGACAGGCCCGGGGCGGGGGGGGGGGGGGGGTGCTGAAGGGACGTGCGGGCAGTTACGGGACTGGCTGACTCCTCCGGGAAGAGAACACAGTTCCGTACTGTGTGTCATGTGGTGTCTGCTGCATCCGAGTGCTCCTGCAGCCTGGACAGGACCCCTGAATGCCGCCCACACATCCCGGAACAGACCGTTTCCACGTCACTGAGGTCCTGGTGTGCCCTTCGGACTGGGAGCTTTTCCCAAGTGGGCGTATTGCTGTTGTCACCCAAAAACAGGCGCAAGCACCTTCCTGAGAGGAGGCGGGGGGCCAACAGCTGCTTCCCATGGCGGTTCTGCAGCCCAGCCCGTAGGGCGGTTTCTCTGGTGGATCTTCTCAGAAAGGACTCAGCGACGTGGTGAAGGGCAGGTGTCCTTGACCACATCCCCGAGGTGCCTGCAGAAGTGCCTGGAGCCCTGGCTTGTGGGCGGCCACGCCACGCACGGACACGTGGCATTCCAGCCGAGAGGTGTGGACGTTTTTTAAATGTCAGGAAAGCGCACAGAGACCTCCGGGCTTCAGAAAAGGGACCCTCGTGAGCGCACCAAGACGAGGGGCTTGCAGCCACAGCCCGAGGACTGGCTGAGTGGAGTGGGTTTCGGGCAGAGCGTGCTGACTGCCGAAGGTGACAGCTGCTCAGCAGCCACAGCCTGGCAGGGTCTGTGTCCTGGTGGACCACCTTTTCTTCCCTGCCTTCCACTTATTTGTTATTTTTGAAAAGATTTTTTTAATGATTTTATTTGTTTCTTGTTAGAGAGGGGGGAAGGGAAGGAGAAAGAGAGGGAGAGAAACATCCATGTGCAAGAGAAACACTGGTCAGTTGCCCCTTGCACGTCTCTAACTGGGGACCTGGCCTGCAACCCAGGCCTGTGCCCTGACCGGGAATTGAACTGGTGACCTTTGGGTTGGTAGATGACGCTCAACCCACTGAGCCACACCAGCCAGGGCCCTGCCTTCCATTTACTTATTCATTCAGCAAATGCTCAGTTTATTCCAGGTTCGTGTTATCAAATCCCATCCTTTCTCGAATGTACAAGAATCCCTGTATTTCCATCTTCCGATGGTGGAGTGAGGTGTCCAGAGTGTTTAAAACTCCTGTCACATTGGTGAGAGCAGTTTAAAGGGGAGAGGGGCGCAGCATTGCTGACCTCTTCCCCGTCAGATGCTGACACTTGTCACAGCTGGTCCTGCCGTCCTTCCCTGTCACAGAGCCGAGACGGTGCGGGTGCTCGGCCTCAGAGACCAGTGGATCGGACGAGCTCTGTCACTGGGCTCACGTCCTTTTCCCTTTTACTTTCACTGGGCCTGACCTTGGAAACAGGCAGTAAGAGCTGCAAACAGTCTTCTGTTGTTCGTAGTGCATTTCTCTACAGATGGTAAGGCACGGATGTGGGGTCACGGACAGAGTATGAAGGCCCCTTGTAGTTAGTTGATCAGGCACAGCTGACAATGAGGTCTGACGTTAGATTTATAATGTGTGAAGAGGAAGTCAGGGCACAGTTAGGATGGGACGTCTAGTGACCGAACTGATGGGATTTAGGATTTGGAAAGAGAAGAAAGTTGCTTCTTAATTTTTTAAGGAAATAAAGTCTACGTTAGGTCCAAACGGTGCCATCAACTGCAAGATCATCAGGTGGGCACAGACCAGCCTCTTCTTCAGCGTTGCCTCTGCAGCATGTCCCGGGTGCTCTGCTGGCCTGGAGCGTTCCGGCCCGTTGCCTCTGAAGGGGGCTCGGCTGCTACCCATCAGAAAACTGCTAGTAGCTGTAAAGTACAGTACATCTGACCCTGGCTTTTAAATCTGGCTGTTAAAAATCTGGCCTTCTGCAACCTCACTCACTGTTGAGAGTTCCAAAGGGCTCAGAAAATAGCTCCCTTCTTCCCCACTGAGCTCTGTACCAATTGCAAAGTAGGACAAAAGAATAAAGGGAAAAGTAGCCGAAAATATCTTGTTGATACTGACAAGCTTGTATTGGAGAATATAGATTCTATTTGTAGGCAGGTGGGTTTCACTTTTTTTTTTTAATGACATTTTACTCAAGGGGCTTAGGATTTGCAAATCAATAACACAGCTAGGAAATATCTAGAGTGTTCTAAAGGAGAAAGAACAGGTTTTTTTTTTTTGTAGTAAAAAGCCCACATTTGAAAACGGTCAGTCCTGGATGGTAATCTTCCAGATGCCCAGTGGTCTGGGCAGTGGCTGCCAGTGGGCTGAGTGTGAAATACTGTTTCTGAGCAGGACAGGTGGTCATCTGAAGAGATCTATACGTCTCCAGCACACGAACATTCTTTTTTAAGTTCTTTAGAGGCTTATGTATAGAATTTAGGTATATCCAGGAAACGATGGTTTCCTCCCATTGAACCCTGGAATTAGAGACGTACCCACCCAGGCCTGGGCAACCTGAGCAGGACTGACGGCCCCGTGCTCCCTGGGCGGGCTCGTTGCCCGGAACAAGGGGGCCGGGCAGGGTTGGGGCTAAAGATGGCCCTGGGGGAGGCCCCTGGCGGAAATGCCGTGAGTGGGGAGAAGAGTGTTTGCACCCCACCTAGCTCACGACCCTGGACTGTGCCCAGCAGCTGCCCTCGTGGTCAGAGCTGGCAGACCCAGGTGCTCCGCTCCGGAGGCACTGATACAAGGGATCCGTTTTTCTGAGAATAGAACTCTCCCAGGGGCCTTCGCCCAGGTGGCCTGCCTGTCACCGCCCTACCCTCAGGCTTGTTACACAGTCTTCACCAGATCCTCTGATCGATGTGCTTTTATCTTACCAGGAATCTGGTGGTAAGCAGTAGGAGGAGAAACTTCTTCCTCTGGGCACAAAAGGAAGCAAAACGCAAACCCCTTCCCTCCCTCGCACTCACCCCATCTCGTCCTCCTCCCTCGGTGACCCCGTCCACCGCGCTTCCGGCGCTTCCCGCCAGCCCTTTAGAAGTTACGTGCAGTTAAGTCTTTATCACACACAGTGTTTCGGCAGCTGTCTCTTAACAGTGCCTTTTAAGTCTTCTGTATTCTTTTAGCATGTCCCTTATCTCCCAGAGTTTTAAGATGGAAGAGTATGGTACATTTAACCATTATTCTAGCAGAGTATAGGTAGCTTATACTTTTTTAATGTTTCTAGCAATGCAACATGTATCTTTTTTTTAAAGTGATTTCAAAGAGAGAGGGGAAGGGAGAGAGAAAGAGAAACATTGATTTGTTGTTACCCAGGTTTACACATTCATTGGTTGATTCTTGTGTGTGCCCTGACTGGAAGATGAACCTGCAGCCTTGGGGTATAGGGGCGCGCTAACCCACTGGGCTGCCCAGCCAGGGCCAGCGTACATCTCTGCTGCAAATAGCATTTGAAAGCCTCTTGCTCTGTCTCTCTTACTAGCCCTGTGTTTGCATTGGCCAAGCACGAATGCGGGAACAGTCTGAAGGTGGAGATCTGAGTGTAGCCCCCTGGGCGAATCCCAGGTCCCCCACATGGCACCTCTGTGTTTGTGGATTTATCGGATGGGCCAACTTCCATGTTAGTGCATCCTTATTTGGTAATTAGCTCTGCCTTCAACTACTCTAAGTAGACCGAGTTGGAAACACAAGTCGAAATGTTCCCAGGTGTGACAGCATTAGCTCTCCCAAAGGCCCAGGGCACATGGACCCTTGAGGGCACCCACTCTGTTCACAGTGAAAACCAGCAGGGGCTGGGAGTGGTGGGGGCAGCCCTGTTCCAGGACTGCCTGGTGCACTTGTTCGGAAACCTGATGCATTTGCTCTGCTGAGACAGATTCTTCCCGAAGCTTCCCATTGTGGGGGCCATGGCTTCAGCTCAAAGGCCAGCATCTTCTGCCCTAGGATTCCCCTGCATGTGGCTTTCTTAAGTCCTGGCAAGGGGCCTGCCCTCTGTGTGCATTCACCGCAGTGCAAGGCAGCCTCTCTGGGCCCCGTGCGTGCCGCGTGCCCTGTGCTCCCGGTCCCTGCTGCACCTCACCCACCAATGCCTGGCATGTGCCTGAACTGACCCTGGTGAGTGGGTCTCCAGTTCCTTCGATCTCAGCCAGCTGGTAGGACGTAATTGGCGAGGGTGATGGTGCCTTTAACTCAGGCCTGTCCCTGATTTCCAAGCCCAGATTTACGGGCCTTCTCCTAAATCAGGCTAGATCCGGCTCGTCTCTTCCTCCAACCAGGTGGTCTCCCCACCCCCTCCCGTATTTCCTGTCTTGTGAATGACTGTGCAGCGATCACCTGGGAGTCACCAACGCCCTTCCCTCTGCACCTCCCTCTCCGGGCGCCCTGGGGGTCGTCGGGATCTGAGCAGGCTTCCTCTCCCTCTCCCAGTTGCTTAACACTTGTTCAGGCTTTCTCTCTGTCCTGGCTTACAGCAGCATTTCTCACCTGGTCTCCGCCTTGAAGCTCTCACCTTTCTGATTGCTCACTCACCCTGGAGCTGGCGTGACCTTTCTGCATGTGTCTTATTTATTTATGCCCTCGTGTTTCAGGAAGGATGTAGGTACATGTGGGCATCTGATCATGTTACTCCTTTGCCTAGCACAATAGCTGTCATTGCTTCAGATCCAACATGCCTGGCGTGAAGTCCAGAGCATTTCAGGGTCTGATGCCCAGCTGTTCCTCCAGGCCCAGCCCTGGTCACAGAAACCCAGGAAGCTCCAGCACCCCCCAGCCCCTGGCACTTCCCTGAGTATGGGCCTTGCCTCGCACTTTGCCCAGCTCCCAGCTCCCAGCTCCCAGAGCCACAAAGCAGGGGCCCTCCACGACCAGTGGAGGCTCCTGCCCCAAGACGCTTTTATAGAATTTACGAGCACATTCGGACACTCGAGCACTCTCCTCCACCTCCTGAGCCCCATTTCCAAATCTCAGCTGCGATTTTCCACCCCAGCCGTCCCCTCCACACACACAACCCTGCACTTTGCACTGCGAGTCGCCTTCCTCGTGACAGCGGTGGCCGTGGCGACCTCCCTTCTCCACCTGGAGGGATGCTCCTCTGGTTCTCCGCTCCCCGTGCTGCTTCAGGCCCTGCCCAAGGCACACTCCCTCACGACTCCCACGGGCTTCCTCAACCCGCCCCGGGAATCATTCCTGTGGCCCGGTTCATCCATGACCTTGCGGGGGGAGCCCCCCCACTAGTAAACCCTGCTGTGACTTACACGCAGCCTGGATTGGCCACGTCTCAGCACTGTGCCGAGGGTGAGCTGAATCCTCCAACCCCTGCTGAGGTCCCAAGAGCTGTTGAGAGCTTGACAGCAAGTCACTAGTGCTCACACCGGTAGCTTCCAACAGCTCGCAGCTAAGGACGCCCTGCCGAATCAGTTTGGTGGCCACGGCGGTCTGGGAGTCGTTTTTACGTTGGGGAGATCACAGGCAAGCTGGCACCACAGGCTGTGAAGTTTGAGGGCCAGCCTTTCACATCTGTCTCTTTTTGGCGTATTGTTTGAGTGTTCTTAGACTGTGAGCGATCAGAATGATATATTTTTAAAGATTTTATTTATTTATTTTTAGAGAGAGAGGAGGGAGAAAGAAAGGGAGAGAAACATCACTGTGTGGTTGCCTCTCACATGGCCCCCACTGGGGACCTGGCCCACAACCCAGGCATGTGCCCTGACTGGGAATCCAACCGGTGACCCTTTGGTTTGCGGCCTGTGCTCAATCCACTGAGCTACACCAGCCAGGGCCAGAATGGTATTTGAATTAAAGAAAAAAAAAAGATAGAGAACATTTTCTTAACTATGACAAAAGGAGACTGCTGATGCATTTTATTTGTGGAACTGTGAATTGGCCAATGTCACTACATTGGAACATTTCCTCTTGTGTATATATCATGCTAATATTTGGTCCTTTTACTGGGTTAGATGAGTAGTGTAGTTAACATTCCAAACTTATTTTCTGAATTCCTTGCTATTTAAACTGACAACAGGAATAGGTAATTCCTTCAATAAAAAAAAAAAATCGAGGGTTAAAAAAGTACAAAAGCATACCCGATCAGGAGCCATTTAAAGCAGGGTTTGATGACTCCAGATGGGAGCCGGCCCAGGGGTCCCCGTCAGTGTTCGAGGGAAGCGGCCGAGAGACGGGCCACCAGCCCAGGCTGGGGCGGGAGTAGGTGCAGGGTCCCGGAGTGCCCACCCACGGGGGTCAGTCTTCGTTCACTCATTCACACAGCAAACGTGGTCTGGTGCCCCTGTTCGTCCAAGCGCTGTCCCACGTGCTGGGGACACGTGGGTGGTACATCTCCAGGCGGTGGAACTGCACGTCTGCTGAAAGAGAAAGACACAGAAATACTTGCCAGATAACTGCAGGGCACCGTGCTGAGCCCGGGCCGGGCCGTGCGAGGTTCGCGCTGGCGTCCGGGGCCCCACAGACGGCGGAGACTTCCTCTCTTCCCTACTTACGTGTTCCTCCCCGGAGTTCTCCGAAACCTACTGCGAACATTCTCCTTTTACCTGTGGGTAATTCAGTACGCATCTCTATTAGACAAGGGCTGTAAAAACAGACAAACACTAATTCCTCAGTATCGGGTCCTGTCAGTGCAGGACACACTCAGATTTCCCTGTTCTTCTCAAAATATATTTTTACCGGTGGTTTGAGTCAGCCTGAACAAGTGCCACACACTGCATTTGGTCATTTCCACCTTAGTAAATGTTTAATTAGCATTGCCTGTAGTAGCCCCTCAAAATCGACAGTGTGAATGCTCATAAAGTGCGCAGGCATTTGGCCTGCAGCCGGGGTTGCAGGGGTGGAAAGGAGACGGCTCATTTTCTCTGTAGACACTTCTGTTCGACTTGGGACGAAGCGTGTGCTCAAAGGTGAAATCTTGACAAAGAACAGGATAATTAAGTGATCTTCATCGCTGCGTTCTCCCCGCTGTCTCCACCAGGCAGCTTTAAGCAGCTCTGGGAGTCTGGTCCAGAGAACCCACCTGTCTTTTATAGATTGTTCCCTGGAGTGGCATCACTGCAAACCCAGGGCGGGTGGCTCGGGAGACGCGTCAGTGGCGTGTTGGTTAACTTCGGCTCGGGCTAATTTTTAAATCCCGTGTGACTGTGGTCGAGAATCCTGGTGGGCCCAAAGCTTCGCAAGTCTGGCGGTTTGGGGCTGTCACGGGGACGTGGGGTCGGTGCTCCGCTGCCGCGTCTGACACACTCTGTTTCCTTCCGCCCCCTCACCCCCCCTGCCAGGCGTCGACCATGCTGAGAGCCTCCCTGGCACCCATGTAAGTAATTGCTGTTGGGACCTGCTTTGTGGAGAGCGGCTGTGGGTGGAACTGGAACTCAGAGTGACGTTCACAAACGTCCCCCGAGCAGCTGGGCCTGGAGGGATGCCTTTGGGTAGCTGAGCTCCGAGTGGACCGGGAAGGAGAGACCGAGAATCATAAGTGATAGTGTTGAACCAGAAGTGTCTCTGAATGTTAATGCTGTTTATTCTGGTGAGGTAGCACCCGATGGAAAAAACCGTGGATAGTTCCTGTCTTGTTCTCTAGAAATCACTTTACTGGCATAAGACAGCCAGAGGGTTGCCGAGTCTGAACTTCACGTTCTCGGCCAAGGGGCTGTGGGACAGCTTCAGGTTTGCCTGAGCATCGCTTCCCTGGTCCATTAGGCTGTCCCACTGTGTGGGAACTTCCTCAGGCGTGTGTGCTGCACCAGCAAGGACACTGAGGACCTCGGTGTGGCTTCTGGAGGCCCCTGAGCCAGTCCTGGGGGAGGGTGCTGGGCGGTTACTCAGATGCCCGAGATGTAGACACAGCCTTCCTCCCACCTCCGTCCTGCCTGCGTCTGCGGTGGCGGCTGTATAATGTGGTGCTGTGAGCACGCTGCCCGATAAAAATTCCACCTCTGCCACCTGCTCTGTGACCTTCAACTCATACAACTTCTCCCTGCTGCAGCTTCCTCACTAGTAAAATGAGAACAAGCACAGTAACCGTATCACAGGACCATAGTGAGGATCAGAAGTTACTAAGTACAAAGCACATAGCGTGCTGTCGGGGACGCAAGGAACTCTCCGAGCATTTGCTGCGTTATTCCCAGGGGCCTAGGAGGCAGGGCCACTTGCAGAGGGTGAGGGTGGGTCGTTGGAGGAGGGGGCGACGGGGGCTGGGCCACAGAAATGGGGGATTGGTGAGCAATTAGCTGGCAGTCAATTTAATGATAATATTGCCATTATTAGGGCCCAAGTGTGATGGGGCTTATTCCCTCCAACGGGAGCGCTCGCTGTGTGTAGTGGCGTTGGCAGACTCGGCTCCACAGTGGGGCTTGGTTGTTAGAGCAAGAGCTGTTAAGTTTCAAATTTAAAAATTGTAAAGATATTCATTTATTTATTTTTAGAGAAGGGAGGGAGAGAGAGAAACATGGCCATGAGAGAGAGAAATCAAGTGGCTGCCTCTCACACGCCCCTTACTGGGGGCCTGGCCCGCAACACAGGCATGTGCTCTGAGTGGGAATCGAACTTGCCCTTTGCCCTCTTCTTTCTCTTTGAACCTGTGTTGCTGAGTAGGAAACCGAAGGATGTCCCGTTACTGCCCTCCTTGGATTATGAGAAGCTGAAGAAGGATTTGATTTGGGGGAGCGACCGCTTGAAGGCTTTCTTGCTGCAGGCCCTGCGCTGGGTACGTGTCTTTCTGGTGTGCTGGTGGCTTGGGTGGTGCACCCTCGAACCCAGCTACCAGAACCCTTTCTTCCCGCTGCCTGCCGCCCCGAGAGCTGAGGTGAAAACCACTCTGACCCCTCGTCACCCGCACACCCATTTAAAAGTACATCACGATTTCCTACCAGTGGACTGGTTGGCTGCTTCCTTCGCTCCCCGATACCCCTCACTCTGTGCGGGTGGGTGTATAGTTGCGGGGTCTGCCGTTTAAGACACGTCTGCACCACGAATGTCCTCCACAGCCAGAACTCACTGCTTTCGCTTCTCCCCCTTCCAGCGTTTGACCACGTCCCATCCGGGAGAGCAGAGGGACACCGTGCTGCAAGCCTACATCAGCAGCGACCTCCTGGGCTGCCACAGCCACAGCCAGGTCGGGGAGCCGCGGGCCACCAGCAGGGCCATTGCTTGGGAGTGGTCCTGGTGGGGGGGCATTCCACTCCTCTGCACGGGTCCCTCTGGTGACCGAGTGTCGGCCTCGAGCTTCCCTTAGTGCCTTGGACCTGCTCTCCAGCCTGGGTGTGGCCCGCCTGTCACTTCTGGGCCCACGAGTCCTCAACAGGCTGGAACTGCCTGATTCAACTCTGGGGCTCTCTTCTGCCATTTTTTTCCTTTTCTCAAATTCCCGAATCTCTCCTTCACCCCCATTTCCCACACGTCCTGAAAACTCGTTATGACTTAGGACAAGCAGTGTAGGTGAGCAAGTTCAGTGTTTTTTCGTCTGGGCCTGACCTTAAAACGTGCCTCTAACAACATGTCTGTCTATACTCTGGACCAGATCGTGGGAAGAGTACGGGATTTCAGTGAGATGAACTGATTTCAGACCTCCGCCTCCCCCTCATAGGGTCAAGGGGAATGGTGAACTGCTCTGAAACCTTGGTTTTGGAGCTCGCCTGGTCTGGTCTACTTGGGGTTCTCGGAGGTGGTCGAGTGAGAACACCGCTGTGAGTGGGAAGATTGGCCGCAGCTGACACACAGCAGGGCGTGCGACGGGGAACCGGGACTCCATCAGCGCTGGTCAGGCTATGCAAGCACAGAGAAGAGTCTGGCTCACCACACCCGGGCATTTGGTACTCTGTTTAAAAACGTTTCATGGCTTCCTTTGTACTACTTGGAACACTGGAAGTGTTTTCCAAAAGTGCGTACTCTGTGTCCTAGCAAAACCGCTCCCAAGTATAACCCCAGCAGAAACCTGTCCGTCTGGGCACTGAAGATGCTCCAGAATGTGCCCGGCAGCTCTGCTCATGAGGACCAGGACCCTGGCTCAAACCCAAATGCCCGTCCCAGTGGGATGGGTGAGTTGGCTGTGACATTACTATTTGTACATTGGACACACAGAGCAATGAGAAGAAACTCACAGCATGGTGACTCTCACAGACTTAACGTTGAGTAAAAAGTCAGACAGAAAATAATACGTGGGCATGATTTCATTTATTTAAAAAAGTGTCAGGAGAGGCGCTGCCCTTGGGTTGGAGGGGGCCCGAGGGCCTCGGGGGCTCTGGAGCTGGGCTGCCTGGGTCTGGTCCGCGGTTGCCCACGTGCTCACTGGGGGAAGGCTCCCGGGCCGCACACTCTTGGTCTGCGCGGGTTTCTGTGCTGGTGTTGCACTTCAGTCAAACCCCCACCCGAACGCAGATGGTGTAGTGGCGTCTGCCCCTTGGGGCAGAGCCTCCCCTGCACCGCCCTGTAGAGTCAGCCCGGCTCAGTCTGGACCGGGGGCCTGCTCCCCCGACCCCGGCGTGCGGCTGCCCCCCAAACCCTCTCTTCACCCCGCTTCTGCTGATCACCCCGCTCCTGACCTGTTTCCAGGGCCCTACTGTTTCCTTTCTTGACTTACTCTCTCGCTGGCGGAGTCCATCCTCTGGTTAATAGGATGGGAGTGTGTTCTTTTTGACTGTGTGTGTCAGGAATCATCTTTATCCTTTGTACAGAGTTCTGGGTTGTAAAGGATTTTCCTTCAGACTTTTGAAGATTGCAGCCCACTGTTTTGGGGGTTCCATGTTGCGGTTGAAAACCTAAGGCCGATCTAATCCCTAGTCCTCTGCGTGTGGCCTGCTTCTCCCCCAGCTGCGCGTTGCCACCCAGTTAAGTGCCCCATCGCTGCTTTCACGGGGTGTATTCTGATCCGCTGCTGGGCTCTTCGCGAGCCCTTCCGCCCGACAGCGTGAGTTCTGGGCCCCTCGGCTGATGAGGCCCTCTGCCTGCTCTGCTTCCTGCAGCGGGGCCTCTCGAACTAGTTCTCTCCTCGCCTTATCTTTTCTCTCATATTTTCCATATTTTCCTTCTCGCTGCACTCTCTGGGAGATTTCCTCATCTTTATTTTACAACCATTCTGTTGAATTTTTCATTTCCTTTTTTATGGCGTTGTGTTGTTTCATGGATACAGTGAGCTTCTTCTATCTCTAAAGATATTAGTGACAGACCTTTGTTTTTAGTTTCTTATCCCTGCAGTCTTCTTTCCTCCGAGTTTGCTCCCCCCCACCCCCGCCCACCATCCTGTTGCTTTTGGCCTGTTTTGCATGTTAGGAACTTTCCTTGGGTTTCTGGTGGGCCTTGGTTATCTGTTCCTCGAGCAGGGACCAGAGAGCCGAGAGGAAGTCCTGAGTGTACAGGTAGGGCCTGTAGACAGGGTGGGGGCAGGGGGCACCTGTTAGGAGCTGCTGATTTCAGGGTCTGTGGCTCTTGGCCTTGGGCTGGTCGTTTCCCTCCAAGGAGAGTCTTCTCACCTCCCGTGGAAAGGCTGAGGATCTGGGCTCCAGTGTTCTGGGAGCCTGGAGGGGAGGAGACTGGGGGCACCCCCCCCCCCCCCAGTTTGGTGCAGAAGCCCTGCTCACCTGTGCCTGGTACCCCCCCATCCTGGGACCCTTTGGTTACTCCAACAAGAGAACACCCCGGACCTCTGGTGAGAGAAGGACGATAGTGTAGGAGCAGCTTCTTTACCAGCTAACATTCATTCATTCATTCATTCATTCATTCATTCATTCATTCCCTGTTTTTCCCACGTTCTGAGCCTTTGAAGTGAAGTAAGTGGGACCACCTCCTCATCGCCTGCACGGTGTTCTTGAGTCTGCCCGGTCTGTTCCCGTCGGCATTCCCACCGTCCAGACCGTGTTGTTACAGTTTCTCTCAGATCTTGAGAGTTCGTGTCATCCTCAAAAATCCATTCACTGTGGTTTCACTGTGGTTTCAGGGCACCAAAGTAGTTGGATCTGTCGGACTAACCTGGAAAAATATCAACAGCAAAGCAGGCGGCATCGCGGCCTATGTGTCGGTCGGTGTTCTAATGCTTTGTATAATTAATTCTTCTTTAAAACAACTTAAAATTTTCTCAACTTTATTTGACATCCAGCCTTATGGTAGTTCCATGTGTACAGCGCAGTGATTAGACGTGTATATGACTTCAGAAGTGATCACCCCGATAAGCCTAGTATCCAGCATCTACTTCTTTTCATTTAAAAGTTAGAATAACGGATATTTATCAAATCTCAGAAAAAGAATCCCTTGGCAGTCAAGATTTCCAGACGAACTGTTTGGTTTTGGTCTGTTCATCTCACCTGTGATGAAGTCGGGCGGAGGGAGAGAGCAGCGCCCGCACAGGAGCGCGTCCTCTCGCGCCCGGTGGTGACGCCCTGGCCCCCTTGTGTCCCCGCAGAGGACGGTGCTGCAGCTGCTGCAGGGCCGGAGCGACGTGGTGCGTCAGTACACGGCCCGGCTGGTCAATGCCATCGCGTCCCTGGCGGAAGGTAAGCTGCCGGCTCTTCTGCAAAGAGAAGGGCTAGGTCTCGTTCGTGCCTTTTTTCCTTAAAAACTGGTGCCCCTCCCCAAGTTTCTCAGAGATGACATGTGTTTCCTCCATTTATTCCTGTGTAATGCGTGTAAGGTTTTTTCGTGTGTGAAAATCGGATGTTGTCGTGCCGCTGTGGTTTGCGTCGGAGCGAATTCTGGCTGTTCGGTGTGTGTTCTGTGAGCCTTCCAGTTTCATTTCGTCAGCTCTCGGGTTTTGTCACTAGCACTTTTTGGGTTGCTTTCAGATATACACATGTATTTTTTACATTTTCTATAATCTTCTGCCCCAGGTAAATTCAGGTTAGTGACACAGTTAAAGCTGAGCCCAGCAAGCCTGGCACCATTTCCTCCAAAAGACTGTAACCTCTTAGGTGAAGAGGATATAAAAGCCCCAGAGAGATAACATGCCACCATAACCGAGTTCAAGTGGTTTTTCAAAGCGTCACTGTCTTCCAAAGTTTTGACTGGTTTGTGCTCTTTTGTAACTACGTCGGAAATTTGTCCATTCACTTATTTGAACGTTCCTCCATCCACTTAGCCAACAGCTATCATAGGCCAGGGTATGTGCCAGGGACCAGTTGTATAATACTGTGGACATTTCTGTGTAGACTTAGTGTCTATATCAAAGCCACAAGCCCACACCAGGCCAGTGACAATTCAAGCCATAGTGTGTAGTTCCAGTTGAGGTCCCAGCCTCTCCAGGCTGCGGGCACGTCCACAAGGAACAGGGGCTGTGGCCAGAGAGCACTGTAGGCGGCTGCCTGTCTCATAAAGACTAATGGGCTCCTCCCCACTGCTCCCCGCCCCCTTCCTCCTCAGAGATTTGACTTGGGGTTCAAGGCTTCAGGTAAATAAAGGCCGTGCCCCCGTAAGAACACAGTGATGACTTAGGACAGTGCTTTTCTATTACTAGGTGATCACTAAAACCAACTTTGCAGAAGAAAGATGTTCTAGGAAGTTTTTTCGGAACCTAAAATTACACAAACTCTACATGAGTTACATGCAAAGTTTCCATAGGAAATGGGTTTGGGGAAATGGTTTTCATAGGAAATGGTTCATAGGAAAAAGTAAAGCGCTGGGGGCGGGGAAGGTGTGTGGTTGGAGGGTGGAGGGACTGAGCAAGAAGGGAAAAGAAGTCACGGCCGTGGACGACCGTGCGGGGATTGCGGGGCAGGGAGGTCAAAGGGGGATAAATGCTAAAGGAAAAGCACAATTGAAAGAAAAGGAAGGTGGTTTTGGAGCATGACCTTAACGCCAGATCAATTCTCTCCCTCTCTCACCGGCCCGTCTCCGGTCGCCTGACTAGGTCGCCTCTACCTCGCCCAGAGCACCAAGGTGCTGCGGGTGCTGGAGGACAGGCTGAAGGGGGAGGACCAGGACGCCATCACCCGGGAGAACGTGCTGGGCGCCTTGCAGAAGTTCAGCCTCAGGTGCTGCTGCGCAGTAGGTCACGGGGGCTTCTGGGTATCCAGACTGGGATTTTTATCGGCCATGATTTTGTGTTTCTCTCCTCCCAGTGAGAGGCAGATGATGCTTTTCAGCTAACACTGAGGGCAGGTTGGTGACTTTCCAAGATAGAGCTAGAAAGCTCATCTCCAACCTGCTAGACTGTCCTCCTCTGGCTGCTACGGAGGGAGGAGGACGTTTTAAAAGAGCCAGTGTCCAGTATCATCGCCTTATGAGCACAACTGTGCCTCAGCCACTTGTGAGGTCGAGAGCTGCACCCACGAGAGGCTGGGGGAGGCACAGCTGGGCCCCCTTGCACAGCATCCACAGGTGTGGGGGTGGAGCTGCGGGCATTGGGTGTGGTACCCCCAGGACCCTGAGCTCGAGTCCCAGCATCGCACCCTCTGGTCCAGCCAGAGCCTGCTGTGACCTGGAACTGCCCCCCGAGAGAAATGTAAAACCAGACCAGACGCCCCTTCTCGAGCCAGGTCTGGTGTCTGCACAGCGCTTTCTTCTTTAATCGGCAGCTTTATTGAGGTGCGTTTCGAATACTACCAGATTCACCCATCTCAAGTGTACAAGTCAGTGATTTTTAGTATGCACAGAATTGCACAACCATCACCACAGTCCAACGTTAGAACATTCCTGTCCCCACAAAAGGAAACTTCATGCCTCCTTACAGTCAGCCCTCCTTCTGACCCCTGGCCCCAGAGGAACACCAGTCTCCTTTCTGCAGGCTTACCTGCACTGGGTATTCGATATAAGTGGAATCAGATAATGTGTGCTCTTTTGTGGCTGGCTTCTTTCACTCAGCGTAATGAGTTCGAGGGTCATCCGTGGTGTATAGCGTGTGGGTACTTTGTTCCTTAGTACAGCCTAATGGTGTCCCTGTTCCATTATGAGGAGACCGCATTCTGCTTAGCCATTCCTCAGCTGGTGGCCATCTGGGTGGCTTCCACTTTCTGGCTCCGACGCATAACGCCGCTGCGGGCATTTGCACACGGGTCTGTGTGTGGCCGTGTCCTCCTTCCTCCTGGGCAGACAGCTGGGCGTGGAATGTGCTGATGCCTCCAGCATCCAGAGTCCCTCGTGACCACCTCGCTTTCTCTTTGGCTTCATTAAAACTTTTAGTGCCTCGAGTCCTCAGCCCTTCCTGCCGGCCCGCTTCCGATCACACGTTCTTCCCGTCGAACGTGGGTGACCCGCCTGCCTGCCAAGTCACATAGTCCAAGTGTGAGTGTGTTTGGTGGGGGAAAGCGGCGGGTGTCGAGTCCCTGCGATGTGCCAGGGTCTTGCCAATGAAAATTTCTTACTCTGACTCTCTGCATTGAAGAGAGCTCGGAATAATCTCTCGTGATTACTTCCTCGGGTCAGACACACATTTCTGTTTGCTTGTAAAGATAACAGCATGATGCTGACTGGGAAAATTTTAGGGATTCAGTAGCTGTAGTGGAGTAACAGAGCTGAGGTGAGGTAAAGAAGTACTTCTGCCCAGTAATGCAGATATTTACTGCCAGTTTTTTACTTTCCTCCAAACAGTCATCGAAGCTCTCTGTTCTGGAATCGTGCTTAATGTTCTGGCAGTTTTCCGGGGTGTCTACAAAGAGTGCAGATCGGGGTTAGGCTTACCAGGACGGCGCTGTCTTTGCCGTATTTGAATAAATGCCACCACGTGCTGGTGCGAACGGTCCATGTGGCAGTTTTGCCATTACCTGTCCACCAGGAGGCGTGCAGAGGAGATGCACGGAGGTGCTTCCTCCGAGGTGTTTCGTTTTCAGAGAATTCTGGCGACTTCTGGTGATTGTTACCAGGCTTAGTCTCACCAGTTTGGAAGGCTGGCACAGTGACAAGCACTATGCATGCTGGTGAGGCACTGGGCTTTGTGAGCTGTGACACCTGGACGTGGGGTGGACGGCGGTTCTGTGTTGGTCATGTTGCCCAGGTCGTTAAATTGTCCTTGCCCCGTGGAGATCTGAGTCAAAGTGGCACCCAGCTGGGCTCTTGCTTTTCTTTTATGCTTTTCTCTCTTTTCACAGCTCCAGACACACAGCTCCAAGTGTCTAAACTCGACCATAATCCGATAGACTTTAGTAAAACCCTCTTTGTCAATGAACTATTTCTGTAGCTCTGTTTCCTGGATTAAGTAGACCAAAAGCTATCAATAAATACTTTAAATATTCAAAGTAGGAGGCTGCTTACTGCCTTATCTCTCCTTAAACTCTTAATAATATCCTGTGATTAGCCAGGCTCCTGCCAACAAAAATTTTCATATTCTAACTATGAATCGAGAAGAACTGTGAATAATCCTCCAGGGTTACTACTTCCTCAGGTGGTATAAACACTTCGTTTATGATTGTTATAAAGATAATAGCTTGGTGCTGACTGTTTGGGAAAATTGTGGAAATTCAGTAGCTGCATTCAGAGCTGAGATGAAAGGGAAAGAACTCGTCGTATTCCCAGTTGTCTGGGTCTGACCGCGAAGCACCCTCCGCGTCAGTGTCTCGCGCACGTGGCCCCCTCCGACGCGGTTTCTTGCCAGCTTGCAGTCACCCGAGCTGTCTCCTCCCAGGCGCCCGCTGCAGACAGCCATGATTCAGGACGGCCTCATCTTCTGGCTGATCGACATTCTGAAGGACCCCGATTGCCTGTCCGACTACACGCTGGAGTACTCGGTGGCTTTGCTCATGAACCTCTGCCTCCGCAGCGCAGGTCTCACTGCCCCCGTCCCCGCATGCCTGGCTCCGGTGTGGGGGAGCGGGGAGGTCCCAACCCTCCAGTCGGGGTGCCCCACGGGCCTGATGTGGCTCCCTTGTCTCTGCGATAGAAAACTGGAAACACGTAAACAGGAAGAGCGCTGTCCAACGGGGCGTCAAGCTGTGAACCCCTGAAGCCCAGGGAAGAATGGCCTTCGACAGGCCATTGGAAAGAATGTTTCACGGATACATATAAACATACACACACAGTCACACACACACATATATAATGTGGATGTAGCGCCTGCATTGAGAAGAAGTTAGTTTATGTTTTTCATCTTCATTGCATTTTTGAAAGATAGGAAGTTAAGAATTAGGGTCCTTTTTTGTCTGAAGGCAGAGAAGTGTGTTCCGAGATTGTACAGGATTACGCTGGTGGCTAAGCAGGGAGGTGAAACCATGCGCCCACCCTGAATCACCCACCTCCCCCTGGCGGGGGGTGCTCACAGGGACGTCACAAGTCGTTTATGTTCTTGATCAATAAAGGCAGTGACGTCAGCTTGTCTGCGGGTCCCGTCCCATTTATGGGTCTGCTCCCCGGGAGGAACGAAGCTTCCTCTTTTTAGAAGAGGAGCCCAGTCCGGCCTGTGGCTGGGCTGCCTGAGCGGCCCAGCCTCGGCAGGTTGCCCGGAGAAGACGCGCAAGCCTGTTTGTCAGGTGCCCCTCACCCTCGGAAGCTCTGTGGCCTGAAGCACCTGTTGTTCACTTAGTAAATGACTGTTTCCATCTTCTTTTTTAAAACTAGCCTGAGCGCAGTCCTAGCTTCAAAGTAGCCATTAGATGGTAATGGACACTTCACTCAGGGTTGTCACTGCACTCGCAGTGACTGTCAGGGTGCTGTCAGGTCGCTCCAGCTGCCGATGGTTTGGGGCACGACGGCCAAGCTTGGGGGAGGAGCAGCTCGGCTCCGTGACAGGAGGTGCTGTCACTGGGGAGCAGCTCTGTGCTCGGCCTGAGTAAAGACAGGCTCCCCCCCCCCCCCCGCTCCTGTGCACAGGAGGGTGCCGGCCTGGGCCAAGCCACTGCACCCCCCAGCACCCTTTCAGGGGATGCGAATAATCCCCACGGTGTCCCAGGAGAGGGAACCGGGGCCCAGGTTGGTTAAGTGACGCACCCAAGGCCACACGGTTCAAAAGCACAGGTGCCAAGAATTCCCGTCCCCCTAACTTGCAGCTGTGCTTCTGAGTTTAGACGTGTCACGTTTTGTTTTGTTTTGTTTTCTTAAGGGAAGAACATGTGTGCCAAGGTGGCGGGCCTCGTGCTGAGAGTTCTTTCGGATCTGCTGGGCCACGAAAACCACGAGGTACTCAGCGCTGCTCACCCCGGGCTTGGGGAGGGCTGGCCCGCGGTGCTTACTGCCCCCCCTCCTCCGTGCGTTTGCATTTGCTACTTCCAAGCTTTCATAACTTCCAAATTCTAGAACTTGGAGGCTGGAAGCCTGTCCTTGCTCCTGGCTTAGCGCACACTGCCGTCACGGGCTCGTGCTAACACATTTTTCTCCCTGTCCCCTATTTCTGATTCATTCCTCCTGCCGTGGACACTTCTCTGCTGTGTTGACTATGTCTGTGGCACGTGGGCAGCCTGCAAGCGGATTTACTGTCGTGTGTGTATTTAATGTGTATAAACAGTATTGCACTCCAGAGCCCTGGTTTCTTACTTTTTTTCCACTGCATTTTATTTTATTATTTTTTTAAGATTTTACTCATTTATCTTTACGGAGAGAGGAAGGTGGGGAGAGACAGAGAGAAACATCAGTGTGTGGTCGTCTCTTGCATGCCCCCTGCTGGGGCCCAAAGCCACGGTCCAGGCCTGGGCCCTGACTGGGAATTGAACTAGCAACTTTCAGTTTGTAGGACGACATCCAACCCACTGAGCCACGTCGGCCAGGGCTTCACTGCGTTTTTAGGATCCTTCTGTGTTGTTTTTGTATGCAGATGAGCAGCTCTCACCCCTGCAAAACAGCTCCTGTTTGCAGCCCCCCATTTTCCCTGTCCACTCCCCAGGGGCATGTATCTTGGTTGCCCCCAACTCTCTGCTGCCACACGAGTCCTCCTTGCGCAGCCCTGTACTTGCCCCCGGAGAATCTGCCAGAGTGTCCCTGGCTGCTCAGGCACTCGTCACCGCTGGCTTGCCCCACCTGTCAGTCGGTCAGTCAGAGTCCTGGAAATTGTCCCCCAGGACGGCTTCCACTGTCACTGGTGTCTGCCCCAACCCTGGTGTGGTTGGGGTTCGCTTTGCAAGGGAGTGAAGACTTGGGCTCTGAACTCTTTGTTGCGGCTGTCACTGGGACATGCAAATGGAGATGACTGTCATTTGGAGACACTCGCTGTCCTCATCAGCCAGGGTGTCTCAAGTGTGCTGTTTGATAATTGAGTTGTACAGTGTTTGAGAACTTGCAAATGACTTCTTCTTCTCCCTTTAAAGATACAGCCGTACGTGAATGGCACCCTGTACAGCATCCTCTCCATTCCATCCATTCGTGAGGAAGCACGAGCAATGGTAAGAGACGTGCCCGAGACTTCTGTGTCGGCTTCTGTCAGTGCCACGGGTCAGGAGCTGCGGCTGCGAGGGCTTCCCGGACAGGGCCCAGGGAAGGGCCTTCATATGGGGTGTGAACTCCCCGAAACTGCGCACCACATCCAGCTTTGCGGTTTCCGATGAGACTCTGGCTTCCATCTGGTTCTCAGGGGGTCCCAGCTCCTTCTGTGATTGAGAACCACAGCGCCAGGCAGTTTCCAGGAGGGTTCTTTTTGGAAAGTTGTAGACTTTTTTGTTTTTCATTTAAACGACTCATTTAGATTTGGGGTTTGGGGAACGCTTATGGATTTCATAGCAGCAGAAGCTTAGCAGGAAAATGGTGAAATGGAGAAAACCATCGCTCGAATTCACGTCCAGGACTCGTGGGGGAGTTGTGGCCGCGTGAGAATGGGTGCAGTGAGACACTCTCATCCTGCACACGCTCTGACGGCCGCCCAGTGGAACGGCAGGGCTGGCGGCCATGGGTCACACCATCCGCACTTGGTTTGTTTGCTGGGTGGTAAAGGCGTGCTTACTGTGTTTGCATTAGTGTCAGAAGTGAGCACAAGCCACAGGTGACTGGAGTCACGTTCGAGGACGACAGGCGCATCTAGATCTTATCCCCAAACCGCTGGGGTTTTGGCCTCTTTCCCTACCACACGTGAAGCCAGAGTCACGGTGTGCATGTCCGATGCTGCAGCGAAAGGGTTGAATATATTTCCAGAGGCCAGATTCGGTTTGAGACCAACAAAACATTCTTCTGCTTCGTTGTTCTTTCTTAGAAGAATTGTGAAATCTAATTGGTCACCTACATCACATCGTCGGTTACACCAGGGACAAAAACTTAAGAATGTTCTATGGGGTCAGTCAACAATGAGAACTGCCGACCGCTTTTAAGTAAAAAATCTGCTTTCTCAGTACAGAGCAGGGGAAATAGACTTGATTATGGTGTTTGTGGACATTTAGGTGGAAGAGTGGAATTGTCAGCCAAGCGGAACACAAGGAACAAAACATGTGGGCTGCAGAGGAAGAAAGCATGGAGGCCACAGGGACTCGAAAAGCGTGCAAAGCAGAGAGGAGGGAAGACCTGGGAGCAAAGGATGGAGAAGGCAGGAGGGGCCGAGACCAAGTGGGGAGGAGAGACTCGCAGTTGGAGGACCTGAGAGGATGGCTGTCAGCAATCACCCTGGGCAGGGGAAAGGGAAAGAGCGACAGAGACCGGTGTGACCACACCCAGAGGTCCCCCTCGGCTGCAGCTGGAGTCCCGGCAGGAGAGGAGAGACAGACAGTGGGGCTGGGTAAAGCTGACCTAACAAGGTACCCAGGAACCCCCAGATGTCTGGGAACTACAGTGTTGACACTCGTAAGAGTTTTCTGTTGCCGTGTAACAAGTTATCCCAAAGCTTAGTGGCATAAACACTTTTTAATTACTACTCTGTTTCTGCGGGACAGAGTGCAAGAGCGGACTAGTAGGATGGTCCTGGCCAAGAGTCTCGCATTAGTTTTTAGGCAAGACTTCAGCCAGGACAGCCAAGGCTTGAGCAGGGCAGGAGAGTACGTTTTGTAGCGTTTCTTTCTGCACAGCAGCGGGCTTCCCCAAGTGAGCGATGCCAGAGAGACAGGAAGTGAGCCGGGCGGAAGCCAAGGTGTCCTTTGTAACCCAGTCCCAGAAGTGTTATCCGGTCACTTGTATTCTGTCCTTTACACAGACCAACCCTGTATGGTGGCTGGGTGGTGGGGGGGTGGGGGGCCTCCAAAGCAGGGATTCCAGGAGGCGGGCATCCATGGGGCTGTCTTGGAGGTTGGCTGCCACCCATTTTCAAGTCACCTGCATCTAAGAAGTCATGAGGGGAATAAGGGGCTACTGATCTCTGGACATATACTAAAAATACTCCGAAAATGTACTAAAATTTTTTGTCCAAATTTTTGGACTAAAAATATGTCCAAATTTTCATTTGTCTTTTCATTATGATGTTTTGGGTTATCTGGTAGCTTCAATTATAGTTGAAAATAGGTTAATATTTTCCTTTATAGTTTCTGACATAAGTTTCTAGACAGCCTCTAAATTATTTTTTTAATACGGATTTTATCTATTTATTTTTAAAGAGAGGGGAAGGGATGGAGAAAGAGGGAGAGAAATATCCAAGTGTGGTTGCCTCTCATGCGCCCCCTACTGGAGACCTGGCCCACAACTTAGTTGTGTGCCTTGACTGGGAATTGAACCAGCGAGGCTTTGGTTCACAGGCCAGCACTCAATCCCCTGAGCCACAGTGTGCCAGGACCAGCTTCTAAGTTATTGAATTATTGACTTTAAGAAGAAAGCTTGGACCACTTAGAGATAAAAGCGTAAGTGGCGGTGGTCACCCTCTGACATTTTAACGAGCATTAAAGTCACAAGCTCTGAAGGAGCTTGTGACCGCTTAGATAAAAGCTTCCTGGATATTTGGACACACCACCTAAGTAGGTGCCTATTTAGCTCTTTATAAGACAGGCCCTTAAGGGAGGTGGTGGCCAACATCTCAAAACCCCCAAATTTCCCACTCTTCGCTCTTATCCTTGAGGAAGTTTTTAGACTGACCAAGGAATTACATTCTTTTTGCATAGAACAACGATAAAGATAACCAGACAACAAGGAAAGAAGCACCACAGCCTGGCCGCCCGCACGGCAGCTCGTGGCTCGTGGCAGTGCCGGGCGAGTGCTGGGTCTGCGGTCCGTGCACAGGCCTTCTGGGGGCAGGCGGGCCATCCACAGGAGAAAGCACTAAAGCCCCCGTATTTTCCATTTGGATGTTTTCCTCTGGCCATTGGTGTGGCGAAGAAGGGGCTCTGCCACGGAGACGCCTATTGTAACGTTTTTATTGTATAGCAGTGAGAAGCTGGAAGCAACGTGAGAGTCTGGTAACAGGAACTGCCGATGGAATTAGGGTTCTTTTGCTCAAATAGTAACAGCTATTGAGGATGATAACTAGGAAAAGCAGTGTGGAAAACTTTTATTGTGTAATGAGAGATAAAAGCTAACCATGATGTTTTAAGATCTCTGTTTTTGCAACCGTGTAAGACATTTGTGTCCTTGTGGAAAATAACAAAGAGTACATGAAAATTATGTCAGTACCGAATGCCATTAGGGCAGCCTCACGTAATGGGGGGAAAGGGGAGAAAGGTTCATGAGTGCCCTGAAGCCCACTGAAACTTGAAGAGGCTGCCGGGGGCTGGAGGGGGGCAGGTCCGATCTCTAGGGCTGCCCGCAGCCCCCTCCACAGCCTCCTGTGCCCAGGGCCGCTGTACGCCCAGGGCCAGGGCAGTGGTGGGCCACGGAGCTCTGCCCTCGCAGGTAAACCCAGCCAAATGCCTGCCCTGGACTGGAGCAGGCCGACGCCCTGTCAGGTGGGAAGGCCCCCTGCGTCTCTGGGAGAGCCACGGAGCTCGGTTAGAAGCCACCCAGCTCATGAACTCCATAGGCTCCTTCAGGGACGCACCACGGCGGCTTGTACCATGACCCCAGAGCCCACAGCTCACACCTGTGAAGCCAGAACTCTGCCTCTGCTGCCCCCAAAGGGCTGGAGGCCCCCGCCACCCACCTGTCACATCACCCACTTCCAAATCAGTCTCACGGGCTACATCGGATTGGCAGAACCTAAGGCCTGTGCCTGGGGAATTTTTAATTAAGAAATCTTCCCCCAGATGATCCCCCTAGTTACAGAGAAGAGATTTGTGATTCCACCCCACCCCCACTCCTAAGTAACAGCTGAGCTGGTGCTATATAAAAGAGAGCAAAAGAAAATAAAAAGATCTTTCAATATATGAGCAGGTGATCATTTACAAAAGTAACCCCTGGGGGCGAAGATAGAGGGGAGCCTGGACACAGTATATGTCTCACTCCGCTGGTGGGGGCAGCAAAGACATTGACATTGACTGATCTGTGGTGACCCTGACCCTTGGTCTTTTCGGGTTTATCACACTGTTTCACTAGATATATTCTTCTTCTTCTGGCTCCTACTTTGAGTGAAGATAGGAATTAGGGAAATCAGTTTAGGAAGTCGAGACTGAGGCCAGCTGTTGCCTGTTTGAGAGGATTTAGGAAGTTGTGAAGCATGAGCCAAGACCAGTCACTCACATGGAAAAGCCACTGTTAACAGCTTGGAGGGCCCATAAGTTGGCTGGGACAGAGTCTCGGGGGATCTGCAAGGCAGGGCAAACAGTGTTAGCGGGTTGATGGAGTCTCTTACATATGGCACCTGCCTCTGTGGATCTGTGAGGGGAGGGTTCAGAAAAGGGACAGTGGCCTCTGTCTGCCTGTCTGTCTGGGAGAGCCCTGTCCCCCAGCCTTTGCCTTGATGCCAAACACGTCAGATTCTCCCTGTGTGCCCACTGTGCCTTGCAAGCTGCTACCCCGGTGCTGGAGCTCAGAGAGAGTGAGTCTGAGTGAGCGAGCGGGTGGGCTCTTTAAGAGGAACTGCTCGGGGCTCCGGCAGTTTCTTCCACTGACTCAATCCCACTGGTTTTTGCAGCCAGAAGTTACCTTCCTGGAACTGGAACCCTTGGCTGGGAAGCTATGTGCAGGGCTGGGGCTCCCAAGACATCCCTCCCAATTTTTTAACTACCACACATGGATGTGGGACCAGGCCTTTCCGTGTCTCGTCCCTCTGACCAGTCTGGAGGGATGTGGTTTATTTAATTCCGTTGTTGTCAGACTTCATTCAACTCGATTTCTGATGGTTCTGAGTGATGGTTGCTGTAGAGTTTAGCTGTAATTTTGATGTGGTTTTGTGAGGAGGCAAGCCGTGTTTGCCTATGCCGCCAACTTGACTGGAAATCTGAGCAGAGGAATGTTTACTGTGCATATATAAGAAAGTGTTTGGGGAGATTAGCTGAAACTATCCCATTGAAAAGTAGTCCCCCCCCGCCCCCAAAACAGAAATGTTAACAGTTCCTCTCTCCAATGCTTTAGGGTATGGAAGACATCCTTCGCTGCTTCATCAAAGAAGGCAATGCTGAAATGACCCGCCAGATTGAGTTCATCATCAAGCAGCTCAATTCAGGTTCGTTTAATGCAAGAAACTATGATCTAAATTTCGAATCTTTCACATATGCCAGGAAGACACGTGGGCTGTCTTAGAGGGCTTGTGATATCTTGAAGTTTATTCAAGAGCCCAGGTGCACGTAGAAACAAATGTTCAGCCAGGTAATATAGGGGGCACTGTCCTCAGATCGGCAATAACAGAAGCGCTGTATAGGCTTATAGTAAAAAGAATTCAAAATCAATTACAGAAACCCTTCCGTAACTGTAAGTTCTCTATATGTCGGTCCGCCCCTCCTGATCCTTCCCCCACCTCCGGAGAGTGGCTTCTGGAGTCCTCGGGTGGATAATGAAGACAGATGCCGATCTTTCTAGCATCACTGTGGAAAATGTCTTCCTCTTTCCACGGTCATTCATTCACTCCAGAAAAATGTATGTCTCCACTGACAGCATGGGAGGGTGTGATCGCTCTATCCGCCTTCCTCTGTTACCATGACAACCCATGTTCTATAATAGGCCTATGAGGGAAGGCTTAGAGGGGACCAGGGTCAGGGGGAAACTCAGCTCATTCTGTGGAGTCCTGACACCCGCGTCCTGACTCACACGCCTGCCAGAGGCACCTGGCGCTGCCAGGGTCCCGGGGCCAAACACGCCGCTTACGTCGTTCTGCATGTCCTTCCTCAACACCCAGCCTTCCACACCTCTGAGAGTCCACGTGCACAAATCCTGTTCAGCACACAAACAAGGTAAAAAGAAAACAAATCTCTTGATCTCTACTCTGATCCCAAGTCAGCAACTTGACCGAGGCCGAGCAAAAAGGCGACACCAGCTGCCATTTCCCAGAATCCTGCAGGTGGCTCTTACGGCTCACGGTTCACAGCCTGTCTGCACAGGCAGTCTGCCACCCCAATTAAATCAGAACCCCCGGGGGCCCCAGGTGTGAAGGGTGTTCAAAGCTTCCAGACGGTTCCAGTATGCAGCCAGGGCAGCAACCCCTGCCTCGGACGGATGCAGAAATCAGGAGGCAGCTCAAGGCCCCAACCGGGGCTCCTGACCAACAGGGGCAGCTGGGACAGAGCTGGGAGGGGGGCAGGTTCCAGAGCTCTGCTCCTTTCAGGGTGGGGGCTCATTTTCATCTGAACCTCTTTCATCTGGTTTTTGTGGAGCAAGTGGAATTCATCCCTAATTCACAGGCATGGAATAGAGAGCTTTATTTTCTGCAACTTCGATTCTGACCTTGTGCCCCCATTCTGCTGGGTGGACATGTTTAAAAAATAAAGTGAAAGAAGCCTCACCCTCAAGCCTGGCTGAGGTCACACCCTAACCTTCCCTGCACACGAGCACACACAGCTTTCTCTCTGCCCAGACAGCTCGTTGGGGAGGCTGGCCCCAGTGGGGAAGGTGGGGAAATGCTGGGGAAGTCGTTCCCTAGCATCTTCTCCATGGTCACCAGCTCTGCTGAGACCTCCCTCCTACGCCAGGGTCTCTACAGCCACAGGCTCACATTTGGGTTGGCACTCTTCCCTGAAGACAGCCTCTGTTCCTTTATCTGTTGAGACTCACTACCCCCGTTTCCCGGTCAGTCTTCCCACTCCTGGCTAAAAAACATCTCTTTCTCTTACGTAAAAACCAGGCCCTCCCTCGGACCTGCACGCCAAGGAATGTGAGGAGGGAGGGTCGGTTTACGTTTCTGTAGGGGACGTGCTCTGGCAACGAGCTGTCTGGGCAGAGCGAAAACCGTGTGTGCTCGTGTGTTCGGGTGAGGATGGGGAAATACCTGCTTAACTCAGTGAGTTCCGCTGAAATAAGGACTCTCGGAAGCATTTCTTTTTTATCTCAAGCATCTAGGTTGTTCTCTACCCATAGGACAATGGCAGGACCCAGAGGTGATTACTCAGGAGTCCGCTGCTTTGAAACAAAATTAGAAAGCCATTGACCCGTTGGACGGACGAGCCGACACACTCACACAAGTACCATTGCAAGGGTGGCAGCGGCATCACAGCAGAACGAACCTGCCACCCGGGTCGGAACCCGGAGAGTTCCCGCCCAGCCCAGGTTGCACCCTCAGGGGCACATTAGCAGCAGAGCAGGAACTGGGGGTAGTTTCCAGTTTGGGATCTGTGATGTGGCATTGCCCCCACCTGCATTTAGGGTCCTGACTCTCTTGTTTTATCTTAGTGTGTTTCCAGTCGAGTGTCAAGGTCTCCGAGTGCAGAAATCTCAGTATATTTAGGAACCTAACCCACAGGTGGGGAAGGACCTCTCTGGTGAAGCCTAAGGGATAACTGCAGCCCTCAGCCAGGGGACCAGCGGTCACTGGCTGGTCACTGAAGAGAGGACGGGAAGACCTGACAGGGACCTGGGCAGGAGCAAGGCTGAACGGCCTCACTGCTGGGCCCTCAGGAAGGAAGGAGATGGCAACTCCAGTGCCACGCCTTGCTGGGGGGCCTGGGGGGCACCTCGTGGGGGCCACAAGTCCTGCAGGCTCGGAGAGGGGGAGCCGAGGTTTGTAAGGGACTTCAGTTCACAGGCCTGGATTGTTCTGGGGACAGGAGTCTGGGCCAGTAGGCTGGCCTCCTAGAATGTCTGAGAGTCTTTTAAAAATGAGTAAATAAAAGGTATTTTCATATTTGAAAAAGAAAAGTTTATCACTGATGAATATCACAGCATCTCTGTTTTGAAAGCCGTTTGCTTGCGAGCCCTTCGCTGAAGGCGGAATGGAGTCGTGGACCGGAAGTGGGTAGAAGTTAGGTAAACCAGCTCACGGTGACATCCTCCTGTGCCCTGGGTGGCCTTCCTGACCACACAGGCTTCGTGACTGCGGCACGGCCCGCAGTAGGCGTGGAGGCACACAAGCTCCAGCAGCTACTCGTGGGTTCTGACAGAAACAGAGAGACCTATTTAAAGTTGCTTAGGGCGATTTCAAACAGTGGCTGAAATGGTACCAGGAACATGATCACTTTGATGTAACCTAATTGTCGTGAGGGGGGTTGCAGGTCCTTGCAGGGGCCCAAGGACTTCATTGACCAAAGCTTCTAACTCAGTTTTCAGTTACTCACTGAGTTTTTTTCTTTATAGAAGAGCTCCCGGATGGTGTTCTGGAATCTGATGATGATGAAGATGAAGATGATGAAGTAAGTTGGAGGCTCTTGCCACCACGTGGGAAACTTGTGTCGACTTCTGAGTCTCTTTCTGGCCTGGAAAAGTCAGTACAGAAATGGAGATTTTTTCCACCTGCCACATTTCTCACAATTCTGTGGGTCCGCTGGCGTTCCGCGGGTGGGTCGCTGCTGGTCCTGCCCGGGGTGTCATGCGGCTGCCTCTTTCCGTGCCCACGCTGGCCTCGCGCCCTCCCCGGCCTCTCTCCACGTGGCCCCGATCCCCAGGCAGTCCAGCCTGGACTTCCTTGTCAGCTGGCCGCTGGGCTCCAAGAGGGAGGAAGTGAAAGCTCCCAGTGGCCCCTGGGCACAGCAGCCTCAGGACGTGGCCATCACTGCGTTCTGCTCAGGGTGCATCCCGGGCTTGCGGGTCCATCCGCCGCACAGTGAGGGGGTCTCCGGCCAGCCCGGGGTGCCGTGCCCCTTGGCAGTTGCTGTGTGCGGGACGTGGAAAGGTAGCAGTTCTCCCACGGGAGCTTTTTGCCTTGAAGGGGCCTGAGCCTCCACCCGTCTGTCTTCGCGGGACAGGAACGCCAGGCGAGGCTCCCAGTGAGGATCTGTGGCATGGGCGTGCAGGCTTGGCTCAGAGCCGGCGGAAGGTTCTGTTAGTTTGCAGTTCCCTTGATACAGGTTTCCCCAGCCATGTAGAACCTGCCTGTCTGGTTCTCCAGCGTGTCAGGGGTCGGAAGTAATGTGGGTGCATCTCGTGAGATGGTGCAGAGAAGGGTGCTCGTGGGCTGTCCGAGCGGTGTTCGGACGACAAAATCCTTCAGACCTGGAGGAGATACACACGGCGTCCTCACCAGTGCTCTGGCACTAAATGGTGTGCGTTCCTTCTGTCTTATGGGGAGTGAATATCTTGTTCTTTGGCGTTGTGGCCTAGCCATTTGAAAGGTGTGCAAAAGCCAAGTTTCTGCTCACTGGTGTCACCAGTTAAGGCAGACAGGCCATTTCAGAGCTGTCTGCCCCAGGACGGCTGTGTTGAGATGGGCCTCCCACCTGCCACTTTCTTCCTGGACTGTAGGTGGCGCCAGTGGGCGTTCTTGCTCTCCGGGCTCTGTGGGACCTGTGCTGCTCTGGACCTCAGTGGGGGACCCAGGCCAGCACCCCCTCTAGACCCCTCCCTCCAGAAAGGTGGGTCAGAGTGCTGAGGGGAACCAGCCCCGGGTCACCAGAGAGTTAGTGGTGGTAAAATCTGGTTTTTAACCTGTGTCAGCAGACTTTTTCTGTGAAGAGAAGATAGTAAATGTTCTAGGCTCTCGGGCCACAGGGTCTCTGTTTCGACCCCTCCAACCCCACTTTAGTGATGAAAGGCAGCTACCGACAGACCGAGAGTGGATGAGCGTGGCCGTGTTCCCATGAAACTTTATTTGTGGACTGTAAATTGGATTTCATGTGGTTTTTCTATGTCACTAAATTTTTTTTCAAACATCTGAAAGTATAAAAGGTATTCTTGAACTTGCTGGTCTTCTAGAATCAGGCCTCTTGGCCCTGTCACCAGACAGGGGTCCGGCCCAGAGCGGGCCTGCCTCGGGCCCACTGCAGCGTGTGGCTTCTTCACTTGGCATCGGAGGGAGTTCACAGCACACGTCCAGGGGACTACACATGTGTGCTTGTTAAAGCTGGGACAGCAACACAGGGGAGGGCTCCGCACAAGCAGCAACGGGATCGCCCAGGCTGGCCTGCCCGAGCTCCCTGGGGAGTGGGAGAGAAGGGGCGTGGGGACGGGCGCAGGGCATCGCCCGGGACCAGCTGCCACTGCCACTGCCTGAGAGGTTAGGAGAGGAGAGCCTGTGGGGAGAGAAGGGAGGGGAGGGGACAGAGGAAGGGACTGGCGGGGCTGCTCCCCCGGAGGGGAGCCTGGGCCCTGAGTCCTTTGTCTTGAGGCTTTTGTTGTTGTTCCACTTATTTATGCATTCATTGGTTGATTCTTTTATTTTTAACTTTATTGTTGTTCAGTTAGTTGTCTGCATTTTCTCCCCACCCCCTGCAAACCCCCTCCCTCCCTTGCTTCCACCCTCCCCCTTGGTTTTGTCCACGTGTCCTTTATAGTAGTTCCTGAAAATCTTTCTCCCCACTATCCCCTCCCCACTCCCCTCTTGCTATTGTTAGATTGTCCTTAATTTCAATGTTTCTGGGTATATTTTGTTTGCTTTTTTCTTTTGTTGATTAGGTTCCAGTTAAAGGTGAGATCATACAGTATTCGTCCCTCACCTCCTGGCTTATTCACCCAGAGCATGGTGCTCTCCAGTTCCATCCATGTCTTGAGGCTTTTCTCTCCCCCTTGCAGGTGGGAATCTTAGGGGGGGTCTCAGGGGAGGGTTTCGCAGACTGTTCCTCAATTCTCCAGGTGTGTTCCTTCGGAGTCATGGTCTCCACTGATTGGTCAGTGGCAGGGGCTCCTCAGTCACTGCAGTTGGCTCTGGCACCACCTGATTTTGCTGCTTTTCTGGGCCTGGAGCTAAAACACAGCTGAGGCCTAGATATTGTCTCCAGGGAAGAAGAGGTTGCCTTGGTGGGGGGGGGTCCTTGTTTTCCCAGTTTTGCCCCCTGCTAGCCATTGGGGCCTGGTGACCCGCTGCACCTGGCTGGCAGTCGCTTCGCCCTCTTGTTCAGCCGTCCGTCTCAGTGTCCCTGTTCCACTAGCCAAGGAATCTTCCCAGCTTCTGACTGTCCTCAAAGTCCGAGAGCCATTTTTGCCAGCCTGTGCAGAGAAGCCTGCTCTGGGACCCAGTTCCCCTCCTGGGACTGTGATGAGACACCAGCTCTGTGCCCGGCCCTTCAACACTGTTTTAAATTGTATTTTGAGTCAATATTTATTTAATTTCAATAACTCTTGGTCATTGTGTCGAAAAATTGCTCTTAAGATCCATTTTTCCCCTTCCTGTGTTACTCCTTTGGGGTTTGTTTTGTTGCTATTAACACTTTTATTTTTGTGTTAAGGGGGGGAATTCATTTCGCTCAGCTTTTCTGGTTAATGATAGAAATTCAGCTTTTGGAAATCACCCTACAGAAGCAATTATGGTCTATAAATGGAGGAATGTGGAGATCTTTTAATTTTCTGGACTTTTTGCAACTTTACAGATTTATATTTCCAGAGGGTAGTGTTTGAAAGTACTTGTCATGGTAACTTGAGTTTTCAGAAGGTTCCTGGAAGGGGTTCAGTTGGGAAACTATAAGGAAAGGACCTGTCGTTTGGGACCCTGACTGGACTCTGTGATGAACGCAGGTCAGCAGGTCCTGGACTGTCCCCCTCACCACCCTGACCCTTCACCACAGAGCACTGGCCGGGCCCACTGGTCTATTGCATGCAGCTTCCACCGAAGACAGGTGCTACTTTTAAAATTAGAAAGAAAGAAAGTGAAAGATGCTTGGACTAAAGGAAAATTTCCAAAAATCATTTCAGCAAGTAGCCCTGTTGTTGGAATGTGGCCATCGCCCCCCAGGGTGCCACCTCCGAAGGGGGTGGCACAGCGGTTTTCAGAGCCTCGGAGTCATCTGTCCATCTGTCGTCTGGCTCAGCAAAATGAAACACTGTTTTAATTTAATGTTTAGAACCAAAACACAGATAGCGGAGCCATTGTTTTTGGTTGGCCACGCGAGCTGGAGCCTGTGCACTCATGGTCTCGGCTGCCTGTCCAGCTCCACTGGACACTCTCCAGGGCACCGTCAGGTGCAAGATCTAATGTCTTCTCTCTAATTTCTAAAAACGGAACGACGCCTTCTGATTGTTAACACCTAGTTATGACTGAGTTTCCAGACGTTCATGTGCCAGAATTTAAAAGTTTAAACCTGGAGCTAGAAATGTTTTCTTCTGCCTTGTAGATTGTCCAGGATATAACGTCAAATGGAAAAAGGCAGTTGCAAAGTAATGTGCCCAGTACGATTCTGCTTCAGGAAAGGTAAACATATAAACACACCTTATGGATCATGAAATACGCGTGTGCTCATAAAGCCGTGGAGCGGAAAGGCGCAAAAGCCACTCCCTCGTTGTTGACACTGGGAGCTGCGTCAGTGGGGCAGGCAGCAGGGAGGGGGGTGTGGGTGGGAGGTGGGGCGAGGCCGGCCCGCTGGGCGTGGGTGGGACGGGAGGTGAGAAGTGACAGGGCACAAGGGGCGGGTGGACGGAAGTCAGGTGCTGAGCACTGCTGTCCGGGGGTGTCCACACTTTTGGCGTCTCTGGGCCACATTGGAAGAAGAGTTGTTTTAGTCCACACATTAAATACATCACAACACGTCATCACAAAAAAATCTCATCATGTGTGAAGTAAACTTACGATTTAGTGGGGGGCCGCAATCCCAGCCACCCTGGGCGGTGTACGGCTGCAGGTCACACACCCTTGTGGACAAATGGGGCAAAGGCCAAGCGGAGTGGCCGGAAGCGCACGTGGGGAGGGAGGGAATGGAGCTGTAAGTGTGAGCAGCTCTTTGCTCACACCCGACTACGAGCATGAGAGAAGCCGGGTGGTAGTGAGACCGGGAGTTTTTGTTTTAGTTTGAGAGGGACCTGAGCATGTTAAACTCTGATGGGAAGGATCTGTGCCCTGACCAGGTGGCTCAGCTGTCTGAAACATCATCCCTACACCAAAAGGTTGGGGGTTCAATCCCCGGTTAGGGGTTCACTCCTTGGTTAGAGCACACAGATAGGTTGCAGGTTCGATCCTTAGTCGGGGTGTGTACAGGAGGCAACCCATCAATGTTCCTCTTGTATCGATGTATCTGTCCCTCCCTCCCTCCCTCTCTGTAAAATTAATACACATATCCTCGGGTGAAGATTGAAAAAAAATTCTAGCTTTAAAAAAAATGGCGATGGGAAGGATCCAGTAGAGAGCCAGAGGCTGACCATTCAAGGCAGGAGGGGTTTTCATTATTTTCTAAATTGCTCCTATACCCTCTTGGCCCACATGCTTCAAACCCATTTAAACCTCCAGAGAAAAAGAACCATCATCACATGAGCTCGGACACACATGAGAACGGACTTAATACACAGCTGCAGCCTCAGGGTTCGAGCACATCTCAGCTCGTGCGGTGAAGATATGGAGCATTTAATGCAATTTATGTTTGCATTAACCATGGGCAACACCTTCCCAAAGGAGCCCTGGTCCCAGTGTTCTGGCTTCAAAGGGCTCAGGTTTCCCCGCCCCGGGTTGAGGCCAGCTTGCGTGTGTCAGCCCAAAGGTGGCTTTCTGCGTGGAGATGAAAGGCCTTCCTGTGCTGTTCCGGAGACTGGTTGTAAGACAAATATTCTCCCCTCTTAGCTAAATAGGATTAAATGCCAGGTGAAATCAGCCATGGACATTTACTTGCGGTGACAATCACATGCTCAGCAGCTTCCTTCTTGGCTGACTTCTCATGTCTGAGTCTTTCGTGTCTTCACTGGGCGAACATCTGAGGGCCTTGGGACAGCGTTATTCTAGTAAATAGTAAGGAAGGGGTGCAGAAGAAATCTAAGAGTGTTGGTGGTTTTAAAAGACACTAGTTGGTCTCAAATGATACCTCATTTTAACTGGCACATGATACCCTTCACCTGTGCTCTGTTAAGTAAGACACAGTGAAGTCAGTTATTGACATCTGGGAAACGAGGGAGAGATAGTGTCCATCGTATTGCTGAGTGTTATTTGCAGTTTCGCCCTTGGCAGAGATCCCTCCCTTCCATGAGTCAGTGAGCTTTCTGATAAGTCAGGTTCATGTTTTCCAGCATCTTTTCATATCCATGGCGCAGGCAGAGGTTAAGAAAGCAGACCCTCTGATCTCCCCTTCTTTAAACCAGTGATCTGTCCTAAAAAACAAGACAAAGATATTATAAAATTTTTTTCTTTTATATTTTATTTTGGAATGAATGAGTCGTAAATTTATAAATGGTAACAGTTTCAGAGAAGTTTTTAAGACTCAGGAAAGTTTGTTTTTAATTATAAAAATACCTTGAGAACATGTTACATATAAACTATAAAAATAATATTAAAATACTTTACTATAAATAATAAACCGTATAAAATATGAAAATAAATTGCGTTGAATACTCCGTTTCTTCATGGCGCTAGATGAACTCGAACCCCGAGGCCGCAGCCGTGTATCGAGGCCGTTCTTCGCACCCTGTCCGAGCTTCTGTGATGATGTCGAACAGAACAGTTAGGGTACTCCGAGCCTACTTCTGCAGAGGAAAAACATCAAGATTTCAAAATGCTGATTACTGGGCGATAATGAGGCGTACAGATTATAGCAGATATAACCGAGGATTGCGAGGAACAGCGCAGTGGAACCGTTGGGAAAACGCAGCCAGGAGAACCAGGAAACCCGCAGTGCACAGGCACACCTGGAGTCGGCCGTCAGAGCCGTGTCGCCACCTGTCTCGTGGCCTCCACAAAACTTCGCTCCATGTAGGAGGCTGAGAAAGACACGTCTTGCTGCACTAAAATAGTCACGTATGATGGTATATTGTACAGTTATAATAAACACACAAACGTGTTGTGTTATGCGATGCACACAATAGTCACGTGTTGTTGTGAGCGCATTTGGACGTCTCAGGCCCTGCACCCGTCCGGAGGCCCCGCAGTTCCCCAGACCACACCCTGAGGACCCTGGGTCTCCCGGTTTGTTGCCTACGATGCTCACGCATTCGGGTGTGAAAGGTTTCTCCTCGTTAAACAGCCATGCTGGTTTTTCATCTGTGCCTCGGGGCCGGAGTTTGTCCCATCAGCTCTTCCACCCCCGCCCCTGCACCTGGCCCCCAAACGTGGGCGCATCTTCTGAGAAAGGAAGCCAGCCAGGTGCAGGCAGGGGGCTGGGTCTGCCATTGACTGCCCCCCCCCCCAGGTGGCCGCAGTAAACTCAGACCCAGTGACCTTCTCATGTGGTCGACTGTGACACAGGAAGACTAGACTTTCTTTCTTTTCTCTTAATCATGTTTCCTAAAGCATCACTTGTTCCTTTAAAAAAGCTCTGTATCACTAATTCTCTAGGTCAAACTCAATACGATGCTCTCTTCAGAGGCTTTTGCCAATACAAGGCCCTGGGTGGAGACAGTGTCCACAGAAAGGGCAGCCTCGGGCCGTAGAACCGAACCTGGCTTCACTGAGGATGAGTGACATCAAAGCACTCGGCTTGCCGAGCCCTGCAAGCCGCAGGTGAATGTCAGCCCCCATTATATTGTCACAATGATGGCACCGTCGTCGTCAACACACTGGCACTGTTGATCTGCGGGCCCCACGCCTGGCCTGGAGAGCCACCTTAACTACCAGTGTCTCTCCATCTGGCACCCCATTGTGCTCTGGCTCTGGGAGAGGTGGTCTGGAGAGGGGCCTCAGGTAAGGATGCAGCCTCAGGTGTTCTACAGTGTAGTCTGTTAATAGAAAACCTGAGGTTCAGTGAGGCAAACAGATCAGAAGACAGCTGTCTTTGAAAAGATACTTTGTTACAGTTCCCAAAAGGTGGGGCGTGCCACATCCTGGGGGCTGTGCATCAGGGTCAGCTGAGAAGCGGAGGAAGGGGAGGGCAGTGTGGCCAACAGCTTTCGTTGTGGCTTCTGTGGGAGTGGATTGGGCGAGGCCGGGGAGCGGGCTCGGGGTCGGCTGGTGTGAGTGAGTTCCGTGGGCCCTGGCTGACGGCCGCCCCTGGCTGGCTGGCGCCTGGTCCTGGGCGGTCAGGGCAGGTGGGCAATGGCCTGGAGCGCGCATCTGGTGCCTGGGGCGTGGGCCCCGGATGGGTCGGTTGGCGTCTGACACCTGTGCTCCCAAGTGAGTTGCTGACTGTCCCTAGGAACTGGCCAGCCTGGGAGAAGTGGTCCTTCCAGGGTCAGGAAGGCCCCAGAAGTCAGTCTCAGAGAAAACGAAAAATAAGGTAATGCACGAGGCTCCCAGAGCCCGGCCTGCTGAACTGTCTGGCCTCGCCTCCCTCTTCCAGAAATGGACTCCAAGCAGGAAGAAGCTCAGGGACCTTGCGTGGTCTCAGATCTTCCCTGTGGTTTTTCCTTCTCCTTCACCCCACCATTGCTGCTGCTGGGGTCCCAGTTGGGGACCATCACTTCCATCCTCATGTCTGGTCGTGAGATTCACACCGAGCCACTTCATATTCACTCCAGCTGTTAAAGGCCAAAGCCTCTCCGAAAGAACTTTTATTTAAAAGCTTGGCCATTCAGAAAGCATTAGGGTTGTTCGGGTGCAGCAGCTGGGGGCAAAGGAGGTGGGCACCCCTGCTGAGGCATGCCAGGAGCCAGGAGTGGGAGCAACAGCAGCCAAGGACAGTTCACTTTGGCCTCAGTGTGGGGCACACGGTGCCAGGGGGTCGGCGGGAGACAAGCAGGCTAGGTGGTCTGGAGCCAGACTGCTGAAAATGGAGATGCACTGACCACTTGTGGGCCGGGGGTCAGGGGGTAGGGTGTGAACAGAGCTGCACCTCAGGGAGGTTAATCTGGGGCCAGTGTTCATTGTACCTGAAGATCCAGAAAGCTCAGAAAGGCTCAGCAGTGCGTCTGGTGTGCAGGATCGGGCCAGGAGCTTCCCGGCTTCCTTCCATGGGCTCCTCAGACCCCCTCTGCCAAGTGGGTTCTACCGTTTGCCCTGTTTTGTGGCTGAGAAACCAGCTGAGAGAGGTTCAGAAACTTGCTTCTGAGATTCAAGCCCAGGCTGGTGTCTGCCCCACTTCCACCGCGGGTTCCGCAGGCAGTAGGGTCAGACCTGGCCGATGGCGGGGAGACGGTCTGCAGGGGCTCCCGGAGGGGAGAACGTGCAGGGATGGGTGACTGACAGGGCACGTCCTCAGGCACTGACCACTGGAACCTCAGACCCCGGAGAGCTGTCAGGATGGCAATGCCTTGGGGCGGGGGGGCATGATGTGGGCAGTGGGAGACCAATTTTATGTGGGAGGCACACGCTATCATCTGGCTGGAACAGAAGATGGTGGGACCTAGAACCAGCCTGTTTCTCCCCAGGCTCCCGTCCAGTGCCCCCCGCCGAGGTTGAGCGCTTGGCCAGGGCCTCCTTTCTCCTCAGCCACCTTCATGCATAAGCTGCGAGGCGGTTGACCCACCTGGAGCTGCTTCAGGTGCACGTCCAAAGACCCAGCCACACGCTGCTCCCCGTGAGTCACTCTGCTGGGCCCCCCTGGGGTCAGCTTGCTTGGTGCGGTGCAGATACGCTTTAATTCCATTACCTAATTGGCAAAGCACCGTCTGTCTGGGGCCTGCACTGCTTGCTGGGCCTTTCCATTATTCAGCCACGTCCATAAAAAAAAAAAAAAAGCGTTCCCAGTTAAAACTTCTCCTTTCTCCTGGTTCTAAATTCATTTATTTCTGGAACACGGCTGCTGTGCCCTCAGACCTTGGCTGGGAGGAACCACCCCACAGGCTGACTCACGGCACCGCCCTCATTTCCACGGTGGTTTCTATGGGAACAGACCACGGCTGAAAACAAGGTGAGGGCTCCCAGATACCTGGTGATTCTCAGGCATTTACACACTGTGTTTGCGCAACATCTGTTTCCATGGAAACAGGTGCCGAAATGGCTGACCAGAGCTCTACAGTAAACTTTTTCTTATCTAATTTTTTACAAATACCAAAACAGTGCATGGCTTTTTCCTATTAACACCGATTTTTGGAATAATAGTACTTTTCTGCAGTGAGACATGTATGTTTCTAATTTTGACCTAATTGATACATCCTTATGCTTAAGTGCATTCTGCCCGATTTCACTGCACAATTTTTCTATGACAGGCTTGTTTCTGCTTACCCAATCACATCATTCACTTGCTGTTCAAAGACGAAACAGTGTCTTGGGTCTGGAAATGTGACTTGGGAGAAAAAAGAGCACATGACCCGGCCATCCCTTCCAACCTCAGAATCCAAGACCTTGGTGTCCCAGGTAGTAAGTGAGATCCTTGCCTGTGTCATCATGACTGGGTTGTGGGGACTCGGGATTTGTGTCCCCGAGGGTATGTTTTAGTCTGTATCTAAGTTCTGTGTGCCGCATATGATATATAAAACGCTGAGTGTGAGTTCTCTATAAAGCATAGAAATAGGAGCAATTTTCAGTTAATAGTGAACAAAATGAGTGATGCTCGTGTTTGCAGAAGGACAGAAACGACAGTACGGGCATTCATCAGCAGCTGTGAGTCATAGCGTGTTAAGCCTCGGCTGAGGGGCACTACGAAGGGAAGTCACACAGGTGCCAGTCAGATCGTGGGAGGGAAAAGCAAGGTGGGTTCACCTGCAGCAGGAAAACCCAGAAGCAGAGTGAAAGCTAACTCTGCTCTGTGGCGGACACTCTCCAGAGGGTCAGTTGTGCAACTCAGTCAGTAGCCGAGCGTGTGCTACTTTTCAGCATTGATTTTGATATTATCTTGTGTGATTGATTCATCTTTTTTTTTTAGCTGCCATTTATTCACACTGCCTTTTATTCTCCACTAGTGAACTGAGGGTGCCACCAGGGCAGGGACAGTGTCCGCTTTGTTCTGCAGGCCTCCCCACTGCCTGGCATGGCCATGGCACACTCTGGCTGTTGACGGGGATTCACAGGGCAGAGGCGCACAGCAAACTGTGGAGCAGAGCCTTCCTCCAGAGCCGGGTGACCAGGCAGATTCGCCCGGTCCAGCCCCGGAGACTTTTCACCAAGGGCACACAGCAGTGTAACCCACTCAGCTCATTAGAAGCCCCACGAGTCCTCGACCTGGTTTTCAAGTCTGTGTCAGTGGAACCACTCAGGTTGAGGTTCTCTGAGTCTAGCTCAGTTGCTTCGTGTTTGTGAGCATACCACCAGCCTGTGCTAACTGATACAACCGCGCCCCCCCCCCCCAAAATCCTGGTGGCTTCAAAAAGCAACAGCCTTTTCCTCCTGATTCTGTGGGTCTGCTGAGCAGTTGGTTTCACCCCACCCCACCCAACTCCCCTGGCTGCCTCGGGCTGGGGGTCAGCGGAGCGGGAAGGTCCGAGGGGGCCTCCCACTTGGTCTGGCAGTTGGGCCTCTCCCCTCCCATGGGTTTGCAGGGCATCTTTCTAGCACCATCCTCACCCAGAGGGCGGAGGCCCCGGAGTGCTCAGGGCCTCGCTTCTGTCACGTCCTACTGGTCAACGTCCCCGCCAGCCCAGATTAAAGAGGTAAGGAAATAACTCCACCCCTGCGTGGGAGGCTGGTCCGCTTTGCAGAGGGGTGTGTGGGGGGAGTCTGTGGCTGTTCCTCCACCGACCAGAGTGATACCCAGCTCAGAGCACACCCTTTTAGGACAAGCTTTGCATATGCAACAAATAACATTTTGTGGTTTCACACACAGACCAAAAAAAACCCTAAGAAGTAGTTTACAATTGAAGTTAGAGTTCTAGCAATCCAAGTGTTTCCACCTAAGCTTTACCAAGTGGGAAAACCCAACTGCCTATTTCAGCCTGAATCTCACCCTATACTAGTCTTACCAGTGTCTGCCCTCAGTCCCTACTTTCAGAAACTTTGTGTT